TGGAGGGGATGTGTTGAGAGGAAAATCCCTACTCAACATATAAATTATTTAAACCCAAATCCAGCGAACCCACGACCCGGGATGTCACACTAAAAAGTGTTGTAATTTCCAAGGGAGTGGGCCGTAACGTCACATGGGGTAAGTGGGTCTATCCACCCCTTCCACAATAGGACATTGTAACCTACACGGGGATGAGCCCTAGCAATACAGGTAACAAATATAATTTGGCAGCGGTTCCCTGTGTGAGGTAAAGGGTCCCATTTTTGAAGAAGAGGAACAGACCCACCGACTCTCCTTTTCCCCAATAAACGTGTTGTGAGACAATTGATTAAGGTTTGATGAATTTAGATGTGTCTGGTCATGGCAGTCAGAAATTAGGGACTTGAGAGGTAAGATAGACAGCTCTGGCACATGATGGTGATGATCAGGCAAGACATTTAGGTTGAAATAACGTTAGTCTCAAGAAATAAAAATAGGTCACTTTTCATTCACAAGTTTGTCGACCTTCCTGAATGTTATGCATGTCTCCTGCTCTGTTATTTGCTTTCTGTCTTGTTTTGCATTTATGTTTTCATTCTGAGAAAGAGAATGCCTGTGACATAGGTCGCAGAACTCTCTAGGAGAGTTGTGTTAGGGACAGTTTCTCGTTGTGTTAAAAGTGCTGGTGTTCTTGAATATACAATACTGGGCTACCCTCCGAATAATTTGCACAAAAGATGGCGGCCGCAAAAACATCCTAACAGAGCCTCAGTCACGTGTCAATTGCGCACTTCCGGCGACTTAATTTGCGGTTTTCCGGCGACTACCGCCACCGCCAAGAGTCCCCCCACGCCGCTAATGCAGTGTGGATTGGGGCTAAACTAGATGGCTAGGACTCACAAACAGCAGCTTCCGCATCTGCTGCAGCTTTGCTATTTTTGTCTATTCTTCTCCTTTTTTGTTTTCTTGTTTAACTTTCACTGAGCAATATAAAATTGGCACATCTTGAGTTCCCTGGGCTTATAGGTAGGGACCTATGAATGTATGATGTGTCACTTGGGATTGAAAGAGTTTAAAAGGTGGCTGGCAGACTGTACTGTGGTTTACCTAGAGGACCCTTTATGGACAGTAGAGACATCATCAATGCCATACACGAGAGACTAAACACTGGGAGGCGTTCAGTTTTGTGGAGAATGATTTTTAACTGAACAGACTGCATACCCTGGGTTTACCAATGGGAGTTACGAGACAGGATAGCCATGCTAGAGCCACCTATCGTTACATCAGCCAGAACTGAATGGGAGTTGTTAGCCTAAAACACTTGCAGATATACTCAGGAGGAGATTGGAGCATTTATGGTCATGTCCGATGTGCAATGAAGATGATCTCAAAAATTAACAATGAACAATGACCGTATAGGCTGGGATATCTGTGCCTTTCAGTCAAAAACACAATTTCAGCAAATTTCTAAATAGTTGCCTTTTATGACATTTGTTGACAGGGAGGCAGGGAGCTGTTCTTATCTCTCCAAAATGGTGCTCCCGAAACACACACTGAGATCTGCGCTATTAAACAAGTAAGAAGTAGACAATGATACAAACACCAGAAATCTCACCATTCTCCCACATCTCTGACTCTCTTACAAACACAAATATCACACCTTTAAGTAGACTTTTATTTTTATATTCACAAGAGCAATTACTTTAAAAAATGTGCAGTCTTGTGGCCATTACCCAGAGTGGTTAGAGCCTTTTGGATACTTACTCCAGGTCATGTTGATGTGTTGGGGAAATTTGCATGCGGACAGCCTGGCCATTTCTGCACCACTTGGTGAATTGATGTATGATAAGCTAGATTTTGTCAGGGTCCTTTGAGAGTGAGTGAACACTGAGAGGCACAGACAGATCATTACGGTCTGAGGAGAATGGCACTGCGAGGAGTTACTAGGGGATGTGGCCGACGCTCAACACTCAAGGGATAGGCAAGATGGATATACAATCAGACGGTTACTGGTGCCATCCGAATTGCAACTCTTTCCTTGCTGCTGAAGATGGGGATGGAGCCCTTATGGGAGTGTACCGAATGCTATGATGTTGATTCTTAATTCAACATTCAACTACCCAGTCAGTGAGATAACACACCACTGATAGCCAGCCACAAAGCCAAAGCTGCTTCTTCAGCCTTTGAAGTCCACTACTGCAAAAACTACCCGCTTCCATTCATCTCTATGACTGGTTTTCTTATTCCAGTTAGCAACTTTAGCAACTCTAAGTGTTGGTCTGCAAGGCTGGGGGGTTTCAGCATGAGGTCAAAACCTCCACCTTTGTCAAACCTTATGTCATCACAAAACAGATCTCAGCTCTAAGTGTGGGTTCCGGGGCCCCAATGTGGGCAGAAAAGGAACAACTCTCAGTGCCCCGACAAGCATGCCATAAAAGTCGACTAATAAGGAGTGTTTCCTTTAGCTCTTCCAGTCCCAGAAGGTTTCACAGAACATGCCAGGGTGAAGAAATAATCTTAATGAAAAATCAAAAATACATTACTTGTAAAGTGGCAAAACAGATACTGGTAGTGATCACCCGGAAAGCCAAATTTCTTAAATATGCTCTAATGAAATGTAAGAGAGCACATTGCGCTATGGAGAAAAATCAAGGAGCAGAGTCATTCACACATCAGGCGTTGCATGGGGCTAACTTGCATCTGCCTGAGAGGTGAGGAACCAACAGTCTGCATATAAATAAACCATATGTATAAAATGGATGTGCACGTAAAACTCAAGCTCTGGAACAAGACTAAAGTCCAAAAGTAGATGAAGAAGACTTAAAAAACCAGAACTTTCCGTCAGAGTTTACAGCCGGCAAATGCTAAGAAAAAAAAAGAAGAGGAACAAGAAGAAAAAGAAGAAGAAGATATAATTAAGCATCAAATTCAGATTGATTTAAACAGAATAAAGCTAATTTGGTAACAAATATTTTCAAATATACATAACAACCACACTGATTTAAGTTGTAACCAATTTATAAAAAGCAGTTCTGCTGAGAGAGACTGAGCCCTGTTGGATTAAACCCAGTGCAATAAAGCTGATACTCTCCATTTTCAAACTTGTCATAAATTCAAGACCGGAATAAAATTTAGCAAACACACGTCAGATATATGGCACATTAGAAAACAGTAGGCATATGAAATATTTGTGAATGGAGAACTCTCATCTCATGAGCTATACAATTCCTAGCCTGATATATGTATGTGAATCATGGAAAATTGGCTGATTAGTGAAAAATTATGGTGAAGTGGTGGAGATGTGGTTTCACAGATGAATGATGAGAACATCCACAGCAGATTTAACAAAAGAGTCATGAAAAATGTCTTGACAGGAACTGACTGACGAAGAGAAATGATTGCCCGCATAAAAAGGTGAAAATCTACATTTGTTGGTCATGTTAGGAGAAAGCTGGAGTACATCAGGACAGTGGGAAAGTTAGAGGGGAAAAGAGGCAGAGGGAGACTGAAAGGAAACTGATCATGGAGAATTTGACATTATGGCATGAAAGATCATGTCTCATCAGATTTAGTGAACGACACGTTGGGAAAAACCGGACTGCAATAAAACAAACAGACAAAGAATCCATACAATGAAAGACTACAATTCAACGGGAGGGGAGGGGGGGGGCACAGGAAGATATTGAACACCGAGGGGGAAACATAAGCCGACTTCCAATCAGGTTTCAACTGGAACTGTCACCATGTCAACTCTTTGCTGACTCTGAATAAGGGAACGAAGCAGGTGTGGGAATATCCCAAGTACAGGACATTTAATCTTGATTCATTCATTTCTTCATTCATTCATTATTTCATTCAACATAACATAAGCAATGATAACTAACGTAATAAGACAAGGAATACATACGGGGTTGTAACGATCTGATTAAAGGATATGTAGTGTAGACTGTACAATAGGTTTTATGAACATATTTGACGACAGGTACATTACTGCCAACAATAAAAACACACATATGATAGAAATGTTGCATAAGTTTTCATGTCAAACATCCACATGCAGATTCCGGGGAAAACAAGAACACACCCACTGCTTCCCCAACAAGCATGTCATAGGAGTCGACTAAATGGGGGTTATCCTTCTAAATTGGAGTAAATCTGAATGAGAGACAGATGTGCACACAACACTAAGGTGATGGAACGAGACTAAAGTCTGAGGGGGTACAAACACCCGGAACCTTTTGCGAGAGTTTACAAGAACGCTTACAAGAAGAAGAAGACGAAGGAGAAAAAGAAGAGAGACAATGGAGAACATCGTGACAACTGGAAAGATCAGTGGAAAAAGGGGTAGAGGCAGACCAAGAGACATGATGCTAGATGGGCGGAAATGATGGCATGGAGGGATATCATCAAAAGAGCTGTTCCAGGCAACCAGGGATTGTGATCCGTGAGGACGCATGAGCGCCTTTGCCAATTGGCAGGGCACATGGTGATGCTGATGATGGTGAAAATGGTGATGATGAATTATAACCAAAGCTTCACAGGAAGCGGTTTAAACGGTTAATTCAATGAACCAACGAATGAAATGATGATGATAATGATTCCTGCAGTTGACATTTTTTAGTGTTAAATAATTTCACCTGATCCAGTCATAACCTCTCAAGTCTGGGCTAATGGAGGACCACAGGTAATTTGAAAATAGTGACTCTAAATATGAAATGCCTGACTCCAAATCTGTAAAGTCAGACTCCATGCTGGAAAAACCTGAGTCCAAATTCAAGTACCAGACATCCTAATCACCTGTCGTCTTCTTCTGCTTGTTATGCAGACATTTTGTGAAAAAGAAGAACAAATACAAGATAATAAATGTCACAGATTATAATCATACTTAACAAACAATCTGCAAGGGACAATCCGGTACATGAGAATAACTTCTTGTGGAATGAAATCTGAAAAATGTACACTGTTAATTTTCAGTCGAAAAGAAAGCCGGGTAGAAATTGGCGTCCAATATGACAAGTCACTCAGGCTAGCTTAACAATATCACATAAGTACTGTGTTTGGCCATACAGGTCTTTTGTTAACTGGCCGAGAAACAACTGAACATCAAGGATCGTGTGATCTGCATCCTGAATAAAGCTAATAGTCCTATCGATGGTTGGTATGAACTGAGAATAGGATTTGTTTTTTCGGAGTGCTTGAAACTCAGCGACTGCAGAGTTTGAGGTCAGACTTGAGGATGCGCTGGTACGAAGTACATCTGTACTGACTATCTGGCAAGAAATGAACGCTGACAACGATCGAGTAAGAACACGCATCCTGAAATAAAAACAAATGTACATCAAATAAAAAACAAATAAAAAAACAAAATAAAAAACAAATACGCCATACTAAAGTAAACAGATAAAAGAATCTTTTCCGCACTTTGAGACAAATTAGGCATCTATTGCTAGCTCCATCAGGTAATGTCCTGGGAAGTATTGGTGACTGGTTTTTACCAATGTCAAGTCTAGCATCATATGCCCGACATACCATTGGTATCTATTTCTTCTTAGCGTCCACCTGTTGTAAACTCTGGCAGCAAGTCTCGGTTGTTTGTCCACTTCTGGACTTTAGTCTTGTTCCAGCTCATGTAATTTGCGAGCACATCCATTTTTCATATCTGACCTATTTATATCCACTGTTGATTCGTCACACATGCACTGCGGCTTCGAAGGAAACATTCCTAATTAGTGGCCTTTTATGACATGCTTGTTAAACAGTAGACGGTTCCCCCCCCACCCCAATACTGAATGCTGAATTAAGAATCTACATCACAGCACTCGGGGACACATTCTCAACTTCACCAGCAAGAGAAGAGTTCCAATTCCGATGGCACGACTAACTGTCTGACTGTATATCCATCTCCCCAGAACGTATTGATCTATCTGTGCCTCCGCACTGTTCAACTGCTTCCAAATATCCCTCAAAACATCCAGCTTGTTATACATCAGTTCACCACCAAGTGGTGCAGAACCAGCCAGTTTATCTGCCTGCTCATTTCCCAACACACCGGCATGACCTGCAGAAAACATCCAAAGAATACTAACTACCTGGGACCTCTGAAGTGATGCTTGCCACTCTGCACGGAGCATTCCTGTCTCCACCGTTTTTAACATGCCTCTTGCTCTCCCAAATAAAGCCCTAAAACCCACAGGGGGAGCCACTAGTGTTAAAAAAGGGTTCTTTACTTTACCATTACTAGCTGTATATTTGATTGGACCAATTAATCATATCAAGTGATTTTGTGTATTTGTGTGGTTTTGTTTGATTTATGTATGTGCTGATGAAGGCTCTATAGCTGCAATGTTCACATATTTTTTGTTTCTGTTATTTTGTGAAGCTCACTGATCTACTTTTTGTTAGGTTTTTTATATTTCCATAATGGTATCTTGAAGAATTATGTGGTTACGTCATACGATCCCCTTTATTTCATCAAAATGTGTCTGGTACCCGTTTAAGCTTGGGGTCAGATGGAGCACTCTGCCACAAAAGTTAATTTTAACCATCGATTTAATGGAGTTTCTTCTTCTTCTTTGCCTTTGCTCTTAAAAGGGTGGCTTGCATGTTGTATTGTGGTTTACAGCTACGGCCAAAACTTCTAATCTGAGAATATTAGGAATTTATTGCTTTTTACCACTTGTTAGGGTGGTGGTTAGTCTTTTCCCTCCATAAAAAAATGGCGTCTCAGAACCCAGGTGTGGACAACAGGGTTTAAAACTAATGACAACCGTGCCACATTGTTAGCTTGGCCTTTAACACAGTAACTGTTACATTTTCTAATTATAATGGTGTCGTGTCACTGTACGTCTCATTGACTCAAAGACTTGTATGGCCAGACACAGTATTTATCTGATATTGTCAAGCTAGCCCAGTGACCTGCCATGTTGGACATCCGTTTCTACCCTAATTTCTACTTCACTGGAAATCAACTGTGTACATTTTCAGATTTCATTCCGCAAGATGTTATTCTCCATGTCGAGTAAGAAGTTAAATTATCAATCTTCTTCTTCTTCTTCTTCTTCACTGCTTCTTTTACCATTTCAGATGTCGAGGGAGATATAAGGATCTTCTTCTTGTTTTTCTGACAGCCTCAACAAAAGACACATGGTGCTGTTGCAAAGTTTCTCTGATGTTTTTCTTTACATCTTGTCCTTGATCTACCTAGTTCACTACATCCTTCTTTACAAACTCTCTCTTTCTCTCTATCGTCCCTTCTTCTCTCCCGCCGCCCAGCAAACAATACTCCTAGTTTGGGTTTCTGGGCCCCACTCTGAAGGCAGGAAAAAATTACAGCCTCTCCCCCACCCCAAAAAGTATGCTGTAAAAGATGACTAATAAGGAGTCTGATGAAGGATGTGTTGGGCATAAAAGCACAGATATAACAGCCAAGCTGTAAACCACAACCTTGTGAGAGTGAATGTAGAAGAAGAAACAAAGAAGAAGAAGACAAAGAAGAAGAGGAATGACAAAGGAGAAGAGGAAAGACAAAGGAGAAGAAGAACGACAAAGAAGAAGAAGAAAGACAAAGACTCACTGTATGGGTTTCGGGGCGCCACTGTGGGAAAACAAGAAAAGACCAACTGCCTACCCAACAAGCATGTCATAGCAGTTGATTAATTGAGGGTATTCTTTGAAGTCGGAGTGCATCTCTGCCTGAGAGACAAGGGACCAGCATTCTGCATACAAATAAGCTGGATCTGTAAAACAGATGTGTATGCAACATTCAGGTCTTAAATAAGATTTTTGTCGAGAGATGGACAAATGAAAAAAACTTTCTGTCGGAGTTTACAGCTGGTGAACACGAAGAAGAAAAAGAAAACAAAGGCAATAATTTGAAACACAACAGTCTGACAGAGTTGACCATCAACAGCTCTTACTTGACAGAGAGTGGCGACCTCCTCCCTAGGCCGATTGCTCCCAGGAAGCCTCTGCCTGTCCTCTCCTGGGCCAGCTGGTTGAGGTGGTTGGTGAAACGACTGAGGATGTTGATGGTGCCAGTAAAGGATTTGGCTTGGAACTGGACTTGTCTGACGGAGAGCCGTAGGAGAAGGTGCCACCACAAGATTAGCTTGGCTTCATCTTCTTCGCTGGAAATAGACAAGAAAAGACAGGAATACACAAATTCAGGTGAGTGAAAAGTTAAATTATCAATCTTCTGCATCTTTGCTTTCTCTTTTACTGTTTCAGGTATCGAGGAGGTTCAGATTCTGCTTCTTGCTGTCAACTACAGACACATCATGATGTTGTAGAGTTTCTCTGAGGTTATCTTTCCATCTTGTTCTTGGTCTACCTTTTTGCTCTACATCCTTCTCCTCTTTTGGTGCATGCCTTGTACGATATAGCACCACGAGGCATTCTCTCTAAGTTGACAGACTATCTGATTTGCTGTCTTTGTTTGTAATTAAAAATTGGCTCTATGCCAAATGTTTCTCTTTCGACCTCATACTTGATTTGATCTCTTCTGGTCTCTCCTGCAGCCCTTCTCAGATTTAAACAATCAATAACCAAATTTATTTATTAGAGAATACATGTCAAATAATAAAAAGAAATTACAAATTCAAAGTTACTGACTGGTAAAATTAGCAGCGTTCGTGGCTTAGGCGTTGCGAGTATCGACTCGTAACTCCAAATTACAGCGATCTAAACCAACTGCAGGCTGTGTGGATTTTTATCATGATATGGGGCGTCGCAAGTCGACATAGCCTAAAATTGGTACCAGGATGGCTGTCCTGGGGAAGTAAAGATGGCCAGAGTAATGCTGACCACATTACCCACCCAGTGCTGACTGGTCTGTAAAAATATGGGGTGTTCTTCCCATATGCCCGATGCACCTAAAGCATGAAAAGGGATCTTTACTAACTTACTGGTAAAATGAGATTGAAACTGAAATCTGAGAAATGCCACTCCTCCACATCCTTGCTCTACAGTCAGTCATGTAAAGTCAACGACCCTCTCCCCCGCCTTTTGACATATTGGGCATTTGGCATAGACCTCTATTTTATAGACCAATCTGTACATGGTGGTCAACATCATGCCGGCTGCCTTTGTTTCCCAGGAATGTACATGGTGCCCACTCAAGGGGCCCGGGATTCAAAGGTCATTTTTTTTTAATTCTTGAATAAGCTCATGAGCACAACCAATGTCTGTATTTCATCAGCAAAGAAAATATCATTTTTCTTTGTCAGCTCTAGAGCGAGTTTGAGAATGACTCATAAGTCCAGTGTGAGCCTGGAGATGTCATTTTGATCCTTTTGCTCCAAGAAACCAGCGTTTTTATCCTTTTGCTCTAAGAAACCAGCGTTTTGATCCTTTTGCTCTAAGAAACCAACATTTTGATCCTTTTGCTCTAAGAAACCAGCGTTTTGATCCTTTTGCTCTAAGAAACCAGCGTTTTGATCCTTTTGCTCTAAGAAACCAGCGTTTTTATCCTTTTGCTCTAAGAAACCAGCGTTTTGATCCTTTTGCTCTAAGAAACCAACGTTTTAATCCTTTTGCTCTAAGAAACCAGCGTTTTTATCCTTTGCTCTAAGAAAACCAGCGTTTTTGATCCTTTTGCTCTAAGAAACCAGCGTTTTTATCCTTTTGCTCTAAGAAAACCAGCGTTTTGATCCTTTTGCTCTAAGAAACCAGCGTTTTGATCCTTTTGCTCTAAGAAACCAGCGTTTTGATCCTTTTGCTCCAAGAAACCAGCGTTTTTATCCTTTTGCTCCAAGAAACCAGCGTTTTGATCCTTTTGCTCTAAGAAACCAGCGTTTTGATCATTTTGCTCTAAGAAACCAGCGTTTTGATCCTTTTGCTCTAAAAAACCAGGTTTTCAGACTTTTAAAAAAAAAAAGTCAGGCGCCGTGAGGACCCGAACCCATGATCTTCCAATCTGCAGATGAGCGTCTAGCCGCTACACCATGGCGACTCCCTTGATAGTTTATCAGGCAAAAGTTAATGTTTAATTTCCGTGTGACAGGCCTCCGTTTGGCTTCTGTGACTCTGAACTGTTTTTAAAGTTGCTATAGTAGCAGACTGTTGACAGTGCCACCCGCGTAATCCGTCTGCCAATATTTAAAGTCCGTGCCACCGTTTTACACTAAGGCTTTTGTGTGTGCCATGAATGAGCTCAAGCCTATGAAAGAAACCATGAATGTCTCTCTGGACATTATCTCTCCATCGTCTTCTTGGTCTGCCTTGTGGTCTATGACCATTCTTCTCCCTTGTGTATATACAGTTTTCACCTCTCTGTCATCTGACATTCTCTCATTATGCCCCAGCCAGTCAACCGATTAGCTCTCATGATACCAATGATCAATGGTGATTTAAATAGATTATGAATTTCATTGTTGCTTCTCATGCTATTTATAACTGTGCTAACCATGCTATATGGTTAAATGGCTGAATAGGGTTTCCGGGATTTGTACCTATCTGATTTCCATCCTTCACATCTTCTTATTCTTCTTCACATTTATTGGCTGTAAACTCTGGTGGAAAGTTCTGGTTCGTCATCCACATCTGGACTTCAGCCATGTTCCAGAACTTGAGTTTTTGTGTGCACATCTGTTTCACAGAGCTGCTTTTTTTGTATGCATCTGCTGGTTCCTCACCTCTCAAGCAGATGCACTCCAACTCTGAAGAAAGCACAAGCAACTAGTCACTTTGATAACATGCTTGTTAGGGAAGCAGTAAGTCCATTCTTTTTCCTGTTTTTATTTTTATTTTTTGGTATTTCAGTTTGCCTCCTACAATGAGGCACTGGAACATACACAGGGAACCCTAAGATATTAATCCTATTGCCTGCAATCCTGGAGTAGAAAAACTAACAAACTCTGACAAACACAACATGCAAATCCTCCTAGCACAAGAAGGATAACTATCTGTGCAGTGTCTTACTTTGCTTGGGCTCGTGTGGACCAGTCGAGAATCTCCTCCATGATCACCAGCTCATCACTGAGACTGCTGCAGGAGGGAAGCTTGTGTTGGAGGTAGGCATACAAAGCCAGGAAGGCATTCTCCGTCAGAGAGTCCTGGACGTAGCCCGCCTGGTTCAGCTCGGGAACTTGAAACACCGACAGGATAAATGGCCAGCCATTCAGTCCCTCACTGGTCTTGTCCACTGAGATAAAAAATAACATAGTCAGTTATACACAAGGATTCCCCATGTGGGTTCTAGAGCCCCATTGTGAGGGTTGGGGGGGGGGGGCGGGGCGCTAATCTACTGCCCCCTAACAAGCAAGTCATAGAAGAAGACTAATTGGGGGGGGGGGGGGGGGGGGGGGGGTTCCTTCTAAGTCGGACTGTATCTGCCCAAGAAGCGAGGAACGAGCGGTCTGCATACAAATTAGCCTGATCTGTGAAGCAAATGTGGATGCAAAACTAAGTTATGGAACAAGACTAAAGTCCAGAAGTGAATGAACAATTAAACTAGAACTTTCAGCCTGAGTTTGTTGCAAGAGAGCATGAAGAAGAAGATACACACAGATGGAACAAGAGTCATGCAGGTATTCAACCATGAAATCTGGAAGCTGAAGTAAACTTTTCATGAAAATGTCATAATCTGGGCATCCAAGCTTGTCTCACATCCACTTACTGCTAACTGCAGGATTCATGGATAACATAACCACTCATTTGCATTGCTTTTTAAAGAGGCTAATGGCGCAGGGAAAATTACAGAGGATGCCAAATTTCTTTGTGTGTTTTGACCAGATGAAAAAGTTAAGAGAACACAGTATGTATGTTATGAACACATTGTAAATACAATTCATTCAAATGACAAGGTTTAGCATTTTACACACCCTAACCACCTCCTTACCCCCCCCCCCCCCCCCAAATAACTGCTTATATTTGACACTTTTGCAGTGTAGGCAGAGGGATCTTTCAGTCTGCAGATTTAGGGCGTAATGGCTAGTGCTGACGCCATGAACTGGAAAAGCTAGGATTTTGCTCATGCCCCTGACAGAAAAAATCTATGGCCTGAACCATGAAACTCAACCTGGGTTTCCCACATGAAAGCCAAGCATTCTTAACTGTTCGGCCAGTCGTTTCTCAAGTATCACACTAAAGTAAATAAAGGAACCCTTTTCCCCGCCCTTAGGCTTACTGGGTATATAGGGCTAGACCTCTATTTTATAGACTTACTGGCACTTGATGGGTAAAGGTGAAAGGTAAAGTCGGGAGATGTGAACCAGCATCATTGCATACGGTTATAAACCATAAGTGCTCTGCTACCAGTACAGACATCTGATCAGAAATTGTCCGCCTGTGTCGCTGTTCACACGTAACTCGGTAGCTACAGCGACGTTCCTCTATTTACTCCAGAGTGTTAACTCTGGTACCCATTTCCTAGAGGCTGGGTGAACCCCGGATGGGTGATGTAGTCAAATCACGCTGGTCACCTTTACTTTCCAGGACTTTACCTGATACCCATATATAGCTGGGTCGATCTGGGAGCCAAGGTGATTTAGAAACCCACAACCTTGAGATCTGCAGGTGAGCATCCAGCCCAGGGCTATCCAACTAAGGTTACCAACGGGCCAAAATATTGAAAACAGGGAGCATCATGAGCCAGAGACCCGAGCTCCCAGCATAGAAAGATTTTAATGCAATACAACTGGTACTGCTCCGCGGACCACTTGCTAGCCTTCTGCGGGCCACATCTAAATTAACTGGGCCGCCAGTTGAATAACCCTGTTTAGCCACTACACAATGGCAGCTTCCAAGGTTAAGTATTATACATGTTAAATTCAAATGGCAGAAACTAATTGTGAAATTTGTAACATATAAACCTACAAAGTGAGAACATGTATGTATGATATAGTTCACATACAAAGTGAGAACGAGTATGAACAATATACATCACATACAAAGTGAGAACATGTATGAATGATATAAATCACATACAAAGTGAAAACATGGATGAATGATATAAATCACAGACAAAGTGAGAACAGGTATGAATGATATAAATCACAAAGTGAGAACAGGTATGAATGATATAAACCACATACAAAGTGAGAACAGGTATGAATGATATAAATCACATACATAGTGAGAACAGGTATCGACAAAATGAATCACTTTCAAAGTAATAACAGGTATGAATGATATAAATCACATACAAAGTGAGAACAAGTATGAATGATATAATTCACATACACAGTGAGAACAAGTAGAAATGATATAATTCACATACAAAGTGAGAACAAGAATGAATGATATAATTCACATACATAGTGAGAACAAGTAGGAATGATATAATTCACATACAAAGTGAAAACATGTATGAATGATATAAATCACATACAAACTGAGAACAGGTATGAATGATATAAATCACATACAAATTGAGAATAAGTATAAATGATATAAATCTCAAACAAAGTTAGAACAGGTATGAACAACATAAATCACACTGATTAAATCAGCTGTCATCAAACTCCACAACATGAATATCTTTTTCCTCTTTGTGTTCACCAACAGTAAACTCTAGCGGAAAGTTCCAGTTGTTCGTCCATTCCCGGACTTTGGTCTTGTTCCAGAACTTGAGCTTTGCATGCACATCAATTTTACAGACCTGCCTTATTTGTATGCAGACTGCTGGTTCTCACCTCTCAGGCACATACACTGAGGACTAATCTGAGTATTAGAACACACAAAAACAAGGCTCACTTCGAACAAAGTAAACGTCAATCAAGACCTCCATAAGAGCGGACATTTGTCGAAGGGATGCCAGAGAGTGGGAGGCAGCCTTCATACATGGCACGAGCAGCAGACTCTGAGGGGAGGACTTGAGCCAGCCGGTCAATGAGCTCATAATCATGCTCAACCAGGCACCTTCAGGGTTGCTGTTGTTCAGGAGACTCAGAATGTCTTTCAGTAAAGTCACAGCCTCTGCTTCTTGCAGGTCCACTACTGGCACTGTGAAAAATGGATACATATGTGGATATCTTTTAACTCTTTCAGTCCCAAGGAATAAAGCCAGTCTTACAGGTCATCACGGAACAACAAATCAAATGGTTTGGACACACAACAAGAATACCCTGGTACTATCTGCCACAGCGAGCCACACGAAAATGTTACAACGGGTGTAGAGCGAGTGGAAGACCTCAGAAAATATGGAATGATGGCATCAAGAACAGCCTTACAGAAATGAAGATCAGTCTCAATAGTGCACTTCACAGAGCTCATCAACGAATGTTACATCTCCCACCGACACTTCGATGAGGTACAAGGTGGAAGAGAAGAAGAAGTCCCAAGCAACGTGTGATGCGTAATTATTACTTCTGTTTATTCCACCCAATATATAATATGTTCTAGTCTTTTTTAGTGTTGGTCACAGCATTCTTAAGAAATCTGGTTTCCACAGTATTTAGTATCTTTGAAAGCAATACATTCCTAATTTTCCCTATTGTTATTATTACATATGGGCATTTCTGGTAACACTTTCTTGTACTCAAAGAGTTAACTACAGTGAAAAGATGTAAAATGCAATGGTACGGACATGTAGTAGGATCTAACGGCCTATCAAAAACTCTCTATAGAGGGGAAGAGAAGAAGAGGCAGACCAAGAAAGACCTGGGTACAGAACCTGACTGACTGGCAGGCTTTAGGCATGCGACCAAGAAGTCCACTGCATCTGGCCGTCAAAGGTGAAGGGATCTGATCAAACAGTCAACAGCAAGTGGTGACCCAAAGACATGCAGTGTTATGAAATGATGATGATGATGATAATGATGATGTGGTACATGTATAAGTATATTAGAAAAATTAACACAAATATTAGTAAGAAAAGGATATTAATCCATGTGTAGGTTCTGTGGCCCAATTTCTGAGGAAAAATGAATGGATGAGTAAGTTTAGTTGAATATTAGTTTCAAAAAGCAACATCACAACATTTGCGGCATTGCCTTAACTAAGTGCTCCGTCATGATCTTCAGCAGCCTGTGAAGAGGTTCAAATCCGATGGTACCAGTAGTAATCTGATTTTACGCCCCTCTTGCCTTTCCTTTGAGTACAGTGTCAACCAGACCACATACCTCGTCATTCCCGCTATATGATCTCTTCAGACAGTGATAACCTAATTGTGCCTTTACACTGTTCACTCACTCCCAAAGGGAATTGACAACATCTAGTTTGTCAAGCATAAAGTCAGTCTGCCTGTTCCTTTCTGAAAACACCTGACTACCCTGGAGAAAATACCCAATAAAGGATACTACCCTTGATCTCATGAAGCCAATAAATGAGTCCTTTAGAACTGATTTTAAAAAATCAGCCACACTAAAAATAACTGATTGTTTTGTTTGTGTCTTCTGTGTTCAAATTTACAGTCAACTGATTGTTTTGTTTGTGTCTTCTGTGTTCAAATTTACAGTCAACTGATTGTTTTGTTTGTGTCTTCTGTGTTCAAATTTCCAGTCAACTGATTGTTTTGTTTGTGTCTACTGTGTTAAAATTTACAGTCAACTGATTGTTTTGTTTGTGTCTACTGTGTTCAAATTTACAGTCAACTGATTGTTTTGTTTGTGTCTTCTGTGTTCAAATTTACAGTCTAGTGCCTTGTGGGAGAGCATGTACAGTGTGGATGAGCAGATGGATCACCAGTCTGATGAGATTTATGCAACGGGGAGTGACGAGAGGTTCTGGCAGAGGCTCGAGGCTCAGAAAATAGGCAAGACAGACGTTTAAATAGAATGCTGCTGGCATCATTAGTATCGGAACTCTTTGCTGGCTGCTGAAGATGGGGACGGAGCACTTATGGGAATGCTCTGAGTGCTGTGATGTCGGTTCTTGAATCAACTCAACTCAAATTTACAATGGGGAAACATTGCTGTAAACAATAATCTCTGACACAGTTTCACCTGCAGACACAACAGCTTCAACCTCTGACATGAGGTTGATGATGACAGTCTTAACCAAATCCTGTTCAACCTCCAGCAGGTAGGTCAACTGGCAGATCTGCTGGGTGATGCAGTGAAGATAAGCTAAACGTTTCAGGGACACCTGCAGCGTCCAGGTTACATCTGCCTTGAAGCCTCCAACCTCTTTCAGCAGTCTGAAATGATCAACAGATATAGTTAGTTAGTTCATCGAAAGATTATCCTCGCTGCACATCGGAGTTTCCGGTTCCGGTTTCAAGATGGAGGGATGTTTTCCTTCAAGCTTGTCTCCAGTCCGTTGATCGGTAGCCTAACAAGCCGCCATCGTAAAACATCCACTGTTACAGAAACAGGTTCTGCAGCATGCTAATGCAGAGACTGAAAAAGCCAATAGATGCAAGACTCCGAGAAGAACAAGCAGGATTCAGACCGAATCGGTCATGCATCGACCATATATTCACACTCAGAACCATCGTAGAAGAGTCAGTAGAGTTTCAATCCCAACTCATCATCAACTTTGTTGATTTTCAGAAGGCCTTTGACAGCATACACTGCCCTACACTCTGGAAGCTACTCACAATCGATGGTTTCCAAGATAAATATGTCAATATTATAAAGGCCTTCTACACCGATTCCCGCTGCCTTGTTAGAACGGAATCTGGTAACTCTGATTGGTTCCCAGTAGAAACAGGCGTGAAACAAGGATGTGTCTTGTCACCAATGCTTTTCGGAATAGCACTCGATTGGGTCATGCGCAAATGCACACAGGACACACATCTAGGCATCAAATGGGTCGACAAAGTTCTCGAAGATCTTGACTTTGCTGACGACCTAGCACTCCTGAGCACAACACATCTAGAAGCTCAGGAAAAAATGGGCCGCCTCCAGAATATTTCAAGCCAAATCGGCCTTCAGGTCAACGCAGCCAAAACGAAAATCATCGATCTTACCAACGAGTCGAAAGACATCAAACTAAAGGATATTGTTCTTGAAAAAATCACCAGCTTCACATACTTAGGGAGCAAGATAACCTCTGCGGGAGATACAACATCAGAAATAACGACTCGAATCGCGTTAGCATCAAGTGCCTTTAACAAACTGTCAAACATTTGGAAGTCAAGATCACTCAGCAACAACACGAAACTTAAGGTCTTCAATTCCTGTGTGATCCCAGTGCTAACTTATGGTTGTGAGAGTTGGAAATCATCAGTATCAATCGATAAGAAAACTAGTCGCTTTCGAGAATAGATGCCTCCGAAAGCTATTGAATGTTCACTGGTCGGACTTTAGGTCCAATACATCTATAAGACAGGAAACAAAACAAAAATATGTGTCTGATTTTATTAGAAAGCGTCGCTGGAATTACATCGGTCACGTACTCAGAATGGACATACAGAGACTTCCCCACCAAGCCTTCATATGGTCACCAGAGGGTAAAAGAAAACAGGGAAGACCAAAAGAAACTCTCCGTAGAACCATCACAAGGGAGAGCTCAACCATAGGTCTCAGTCGCACTCAAGACCTACATCAAGTGGCAAAGAACCGACAGACGTGGAAAGCTATGACCTCTGCCCTATGCGCCATCTTTGGCACAAGAGGAATAACTAACTAACTAACTAACTAACATCGGACAAAGTCCACAAGCGCTCGGATCCCATCTTCAGTATATCCCTCTGTGTGTGGCAACTGATTACACCAGTTCTTTGTTCGTTTACTATTCTTCTTTGGCTACGTGTATAGTGTTTATGTTCGGCGACACCTCTTTTGACCCAAAGTTCTTGTAGTTCAACGTCATCTCCTGAATCATCTTCACATCCTGCCTCTTTGAGAGCACTGAGAATGTTGACCTGGTTCATTGCATTTCCTGTACCTATTGTGGCCCTGCCAGTAAGCCAATCCGCTCAATCATTTCCTCTCACCCCAGAGTGTCTTGGCACAAAAATGAAACTAATTCCTATCAGACGAGATTGTCTCTGCGACTGCAACCATTTTTGTCAAATCCATCCTGTCTCTGTATGCTTAAGCACGTTCATGAAATCATCTAGAAAAACACGCTTGGGAAAAATGCTGTGTCTCTAGCCACATCACTGCTTTTGTTACAGCCATCACCTCCACAGTCAGACTACTTGTAGTCAAAACAAAAGCCCCCCCCCCCCCCCCCCCCCCCCCCTCCCCATCTTTTACAGTTTTTCCTCAAACTAGAACAGTGAAAACCCAAGAACCAACTGTTGATCAATTGTTAAAGCTCAAGACAAGTCAAAACCCAAGAACCAACTGTTGATCAACTGTTATAGCTCAAGACAAGTGAAAACCCAAGAACCAACTGTTGATCAACTGTTATAGCTCTCAGATTTATATATACATATATATTTATTTATTTCAACAGCATTTTATTAACCAGAGGTGAGTTCAAGATGGTATCCATTGGGTGCTGAATTCATTTACTGGTCAATTGTACCAGAGTACAGAGGCGTGATCACCTACGCCGGTCATGAAGGCACTAGATTACGATGATGGTTGAGGCGAGTGATAAAGGTCATCGCTGTGCAAGAAGTTTGGAAAGAGATGCTTCTGAAATTCACGGCTATTGGTTTACATGAGTAAACTGAGAGATGAATATTCCTTGATGTTTAGCGAGAGAAAGCGGATTCACGCATTTTATGAGACTTGACTGGACGCTGGGCTGGACACTGGGCTGGAAATAATTTGTGTTTGTCCAATTAGTGCCTCTCCATCGACAAAATAGAATGGCCACATATAGGCATATGTCGAACTGGCTTGTGGTCATGTGTATTGTTTCATTTCCACGGAGAATTGAACTGTTTAGTGGGTGTTATTGTTCACATGTTTATCACCAAATCTTTGTCCTAGTAAGCTTGCGACTAATAAAATTGACTGAAGCACTATTAAAGATGCTTACTGTTGTGTTGCTGTGATACTGTTGATTGAGTGTTAGAGTTACGATGTGGACTCGGTGTACATGTGTCAAATAATTACTCTCTGGTAGGAAACTCAAATAGTCATCGTTAGTATAGAGAGTAACACTTCACAATTGTATCAAGGGCATCAACAACCCTGCTGCCCTGAGAAGCCACAAAATGGTCACTTCCAGTGGGGCTCAATTCCCCTTAAATGTCACTCTTCTGCTCTTGTCAACAGTGACCTGTTTACAAGACGAATGATTAATGCTATACACTGTGTTCACTCCTGCACAAATGTTTATGAGTTCAGGATGTGAATATATGAACTAAAATAGCATTTTGGAGTTTCCTTCAAATCAAATGGTTTTTCCCAGAAGCTTCAGTGATTGAGTCCAGGGTCACAGTATGAGTCATCCAATATATCTTTGTAAGGCCCAGGGAAGGTACTGCATTTAATTCTGCACTCTGTTCACATTTAATGATTACTCCTTTTAAATATCTTCATAAATTTTCAAGAAAATTAACTAACAGAAATCGCCACAAATAAATTTCTTTAAAATTTGTTAGTACTCTGTGTAAAACTTTTGCTTCTAAGATTTTTTTTTAAGGAATCAAGTGAGCATGACCAATGTTTTTTTTTTCTTTTGGTATCGAGGCGAAAGGGTTAATATCTATATCCATCATCATGATGGTCAATTCCTGCCACATCTTCCAGGAACATCCTCTGCTACAGTCTTCTGAAAACCATTATGGCATATAATATCGCCAAAGTATTTTGGTTTCTGAGAAATGATACTGTTAACGAAACTGAGTAAGTAAAAAAGTAAAAGTCCCTCTTCCAGGCCTTTAGGCGCATAGAGCATATATGGCTAGACCTATATTATTATTATAGACCAATCGCAACAAGATAGGTGGTGTGGTCAGCATCATACTGGCCGCCTTTACTTCCCAGGACTCTACCTGGTACCCACTCAAGGCTGGGTTAACCTGGGAGTCAAGGTCTTTTTTTTTTTTTAAAGTCACGCTCCGCCAGGGAGTGAACCCACGGTTTATGAAAGAGTTTCCGGAAGATTCAGATCATGAAAGTTGCCAGTATTTCTTTAATTTTGTTTGGTCGAGGAAATTCTAACAATCTTTCTGATGTAGCGTAGATATGAGGTTAAAAAAAGCAAAGGACCCTTTTCCACACCTTTCGACCTTTAGACGTCATCATGTGCCTTGCAGACTCACTCATGCCTTTCCATAATCTGCAATCCGCAGCTGTGTGTAACAGCTTGTGTGTTGACATACATCCATGCCATGACAAGAGGCCATCCAGAAATATTGGGTATGTAATGCTATACTTCAAGACTAATCAGCACTCAGTGCTGACCACCTTTACTTCCCATGAATTTACCTGGTACCCATTTTAGGTTGAAACGACCTCAGAGGCAAGGTAATTTTGGAGAGAAAATTCCGGCTCAATGGCAATTTCAGCCCACAACCTTTAGATTCACATTTAGCCGCTACACTACAGCAGCTCCACCTCTAATCTTACCTAATACACACCTAAGCTCTAGAGGTGCTAATCTCAACAGATACTCACCGAAGTCCAAGAGCCAGATTTGATGACCTTTCAGCCAGGACGCATTTAGGGTCACACAGCTGCATGAACCAACTAGACACACAGGAATAACCTTCTGGGGTCACCATTGACCAATCAAATGTCAGAGCCTCAGACAGCAATTTGTTTATCTCTGCATCCTGTTTCATGTTTTAAACAATAATAAAATAATTTTCGCAACAAATAAGTATTTAGAAATCACATCAGGTAAACAAGTAACTGCAGTTAATTCACAGAAAACAGGTAACCCCAAAGCTGCTCCATTAATGTACCAATCAAAACCACATAGCAATGCCGGTGTAGTGGGTAATGAACACGCAGACATATTGGCTGGATCTGCACCACTGGGTGGTGAACTGATACATGACATGGCAGATGTGGTCAAGGCTCTTTGGGAACAAGCAACAGAATCAGCAGAGAAACCCTGGAGAGAATGAGGCTCCTAGGTGTAACCAGATGTTCTGGCCGGTTCACTACAATCAAAGAAAAGGCAAGATGGACATATAACCAGACTGTGACCAGTACCATTAGTATTGGAACTCTGGCTGGCTGCTAAAGATGAGGACAGAGCACACATGGGAATGCCCTGAGTGATGTGATGTCAATTCTTGACTAAACTCAAAACCACACAGAGTGTCCATAAATGTCCCTTGTAAAAAAAATGGTCACAGACTCAGTAAAGCCAACAGTATACACAGGCATTAAAAGCATAAGGCAGCTGTCAGAAGTGCCAACACAAACATTCTGGCCCTAGACATGCAGTTTGTCATTGATGGAAGTAGCAATTACAACAAACCAGTAGCTGCACGTGCAAATTAATTGTGCAAGGCGCCATAATTTCTCTGGCACCAGGCCACTTGCCATTTTCTAAAGCTATAGTTCACAACACAAACCAAGTTGGGCACAGATGATAAGCATTTCTCCCTGCGGGGGTTCCAGGGCTCCATTGTGGGGCAACAAGAATAGACCCACTGCCTGCCTAAAAGCATGTCATAAGAGTTGACTAATTGGGAGCGTCCTTCGAAGTTAGAGTATATCTGCCTGAGAGGCAAGGAACCAACAGTCTGCATGCAAAGGAGTCAGACCTGTGAAACGCAACACTCAGTTTCTGGTACAGGATTAGAGTCCACAACTGGACAAGCAACCAGAACTTTCCACTGGAGTTACAGCCAGTGAGTGCGAAGAAGAAGAAAAAGAATAAGAAGAGTATTTCTAATGGAATCTGCAGCTCACAGTGTCATGGAATGCACTATACTTAGTAGCTGGGTGGCAGAAATTGTTCCTTTCAGTCTATATATGTAGGAAAATGTAAAAAGCAAAATCTTGCCACAACTAAAGATAGTAATCCTTCCTATCTGCAATACTGACCAGAAGATAGAAATAACAATAAACAGATACATAAAACTCATAACATTACACAACAAAGCACTATTTCTGTTTTTACCATAATCATCACACACACAAAATTCCCACGGCCAACAGCTGATACACATATCAGCACCCATCAACCTCCATTGTGGAGAAGGCATGTACGCACGCACGCATGCACACACACACACAAAACTCATTATGTTAATCTGGATTATCGGTTTCTTTCATTCCAGACAATGTTAACATGTTAATAGCTCTTTCTCATGAGTCTCAACCCTCATACGGTATGTTTTCTAATAACGGCTTTCTTTTTCCCGATGCGAAGCACCAGCACCAATTTTTTGTATTGACTTCATTGTCTTCAGCACTATTATAATAGACACTGGCAGAGTAGTTCATTGGGGAGAATACTAGCCTTGTCCTAGGAGGACAAACTGCAACCTGAAAACGTTATGTTATGGCAGGGCAGACCAAGCCCTTAGCCTTAGCTGGCAGCTGGTCTAGGAGGGAAGCTCTGATAGGAGGACAGATATAGCACTGCTCTTCTGATCCGGCAGCTTCTGCAGCCTGTTTTGTTCCAAATATACTGGTGATACTTTTCCTTTGGAGTAAACAAGGCAGGCGGAGTGAGGGATCATGATGCGTGAGCAACATATGGTCTCTATAATACTGCTCAGGCTCTGTGCTATGGAGAGCATCACACTGGCCTTCACCATGGGCTGTGAGTCCAATACCTTCTCACAACGCAATATAACACTATCATCTGGAAAGTCGAAAAGGTGCCAATCAATCAGTGTTGACAATGAGACCAGGATACATGCCACAGCAAGACATCCTGGGATTAAAGAAAATGAAAAAAAAAAACCCTAAAGAAATGGCCATGTCTGCAGTAGTCAGTGAAGGAAGAAGTATGGACAGAGCTGACATACTAAAGGTGTTGCAATCAGGAGATGCTGAGACACAGGAGTCAGAGACAAACTTTTTGTTGGAAATAGGTAATAAAAGAGGACAAGCATGCAGTGGCATGGAGGAATATCATCAGGTGGAACTGATCCAGAACTGATCCAGAACTGATCCAAAACTGACCCAGAAATGCAAAGACCGAGAACTGTGCAGATGCATGAACACCTATGCCAGCTGGCAAAGCATAAATCGGTTGCGGTGCAAAGAAAAAAGATATGCCAGTCAACTTGTACTGGGTACATTGAGCATGGGGACCCTGAGATGGCTGCTGCATCAGAGGATGGACCAGATATGGGTTGGACAGATGTGATAAAAAGTTGACAGGAAAATGTCCTAACTCACGATCTTATAAAGATAAAGATCAATTTTCACGCCTTTAGGGGCATCAGTCATATCGGAAGAGCACCTATATTTTTACAGATCAATCAGCACTAGGTGGGTAATGTGGTCAGCGTTACGCCGACTGTCTTCACTTCCCCAGGACATACATCCTAGTACCCACTTTAGGCTGGGTCGACCTGCGACGCCCCGTACCATGATAAAAATCCACGCAGCCAACAGTGGGTTACGATCGCTGTATACTGGAATTATGAGTCGGACTCTCAACGCCTAAGCTACGGACGCTGCCATAAAAAGTAAGATCCATTTTCACGCCTTAGGTGTTTCTGGCATATGGGAAGAGCACCCATATTTCTACAGACCAAATCAGCACTAGGTGGGTAATGTGGTCAGCATTACGCCGGCCGTCTTTACTTCCCCAGGACATACATCCTGGTATCCACTTTAGGCTGGGTTGACCTGCGAGGCCACGTACCATGATAAAAATCCACGCAGCCAGCAGTGGGTTTCGACCGCGGTACATTGGAGTTACGAGTTAGTTACGCAATGCATATGCCAAGGATGCCACCAACTCACGGCAATGAGATGAAAAACTACCTGTGAGAATTCTGGATCCACATATGCCTGAATCAGCAGAACTGCCAGTCCTGCCTGCATCCTTGCTGTGACCTCTGCATGACCCGGAGTCTGCTGCTGGGACAGGGAATGGCTCATTAAACTCTGCCACTGAATCTGGGGCAGAATGTGTCCAATCAGAATGAAGCAGCAAGGGGAGCTAACTTCCTTCATCTGTAAATAAGTAAAGCACAAGTAAAGAAGCCTCTGTGTGTCTGCGGAGGACTGGGTATATGATGCTAGACATATATTTTTAAAGGTCAACTGGCACTTGGTGTAAAGGACAGGGATGTCAAAGACACATGACAAGACAACAACTCAACAGGACTATTACCACACAGGAACCAAACATAAATAACAGCTTTAAACAAATAATAAAAAGTACAGCCAGGAAGATGGACACATGTAATGGAACCTTCACCAGGATCGGAGGAGCAACAGAAAGAAGGCACAATTTTTTCTCCAGGACATCATTACATACAGTTAAAGACAGCAGGCTACAACCACAGCACAACAAACTATTTGAGCCATTAAATCTGACATATTTAAAACAGACCATAATTATTACCGAAGCTGTTTTTGACAGGGCTGAACGCAGTAGACTTTTCATTTGTTTTTGAAAGAACCAAACAAGCAACCAGGACATTAACTGGGGCCAATTTCAGGCTGGGTCGAACCTTGGCTGTCCTTTTGGATGAGTCCACACTTATCCCTGCAATGATGCTGGCTGCTTTCAATAACGCTAGATTCTATCCTGGCTTCCAGTTTAGGGTTTCTACACCCTTGCTAGCATTGTTACTTCATGTGACCATGTGGCACCACGTGCACTGCTACCAACTTGGGAACAAATACAACCGTCTACAATTAACACTGCAGGATGGCACGCAGATCTTAATGTAAATTCTGCCAGTTAATTCCTCCCAATTCTTTCCCATTATTCCTACAATAATAATTCACACAACGTTTAGTACACTCCATTTAAACTACATCGACTACATCACAGCCATCTGTCAAGGCCCTTTGGGAACAAGCAATGGAATCAGCAGAGAAACAAGATTATTATGACCTGGAGAGAATGAGGCACCTGGGCGTGATCAGAGGGTCGGGCCGGCTTACTACACTCAGAAGAAAGGCAAGACGGACATATAACCAGATTGTGACTGGTACCATCAGTATTGGAACTCTGCCCTAGCTGTTGAAGATGAGGACGGAGCATGCATGGGAATGCCCTAAGTGCTGTGATGTCAATTCTTAACTCAACTCAACTTGACTCAACACAACTGTCTTCTCCAAACTCTGGTACATCCAAGCCCAAGCTGGGGCTTTTCCCCATTCATCTCTCCAGGCCAGAGTATGCCGTGCCATCATCTCTTGCATGGGTTTTCTGCTTGGCTTGCTGTGACTGTAGGCCCTCTATGCAAAGCCAGGTCATCATGACCTGGTGACTTGCCACATGCTTATAAAGAGCCTACCACTCAAAGTGGTGAAGTAAACATTGTTTATGTAAATATCATATCTTGAGTTGAGATGCTGCCATATAACTCCACATAACAATCAGCTATTGTAAACTAAAGACATTCTGCACTATATCACTGTATTACCCCTTTCATCTCGTGGACCAAGGGGGGAAAAAAAACAAGCGCCCGTAATTTTTGTTTTTGTGTGTGGAAGTTTCTTGGGAGAATAATCCTTAGAAAAAATCTACCATTTTACACGTCAATTAAAAAAAAAATTTGCTCAGAATCAATTTATTATCTAAAACACAAACAGATACCATAGAGAGCAAACAAAATAATCAATGAATTACAATATTTTCTGTTGTCTAGTGTGTTCCTTAACTGTTTCTCTTCACACATCTTCCATGATGTGCCAATAAATGCCTATAAACATTTTAACTCTATATTTTACCTTAACCATAGTTTCCAGCAACTGTAGGTCTGGTCGTAACTCTTGCCACGGCAGCTGCTGGAGTTCGGCCACATAAATGGCGGTTGTGTGTGAGGCTGTGGTCTTGGTGCTGAGTCCAGTCATGTAATACATCAGTAGCAGGGACAGCACTCCGCTAGAGTTGGCTGGGTGTTTGACTACGGATGAGGATACAGAGGTAAGAACTTGGATAGGTGTATGATAAGTGGATGAGGAAACAGAGGTAAGAACTTGGATAGGTGTATGATAAGTGGATGAGAATACATAGGTAAGAATTAGGATATGGGTATGATAAGTGGATGAGAATGCAGAGGTTAGAATTTAGATATGTGTGTGATAAATGATAGAAATCAATCAACGGTGATAGGAAGAAAGAAAAACAATTTAGAAATAAAATTTAAAAAAAAACACTCTAAGACAAACAGAGGAATTTAAGTATTTGGGAGCAATTTTCACATCCGATGGAAAACTGGACAGAGAAATTAGCTTGAGATGTGCCAAAGCTAATCAAGTAATGGGTCAACTATCTCCCCTGTTGACACACAAGAAGATACCCCGGAGTACTAAAGTAAATCTTATCCAAACAATGTTTTTGGCCAACACTGTGCTATCAGTGCCAAATGTGGACACTTACATCCTCCAATGCATGTAAAACTGTGACAACAGAGATGAAATGCCTTAGAAGAGCTGCAGGAGTTTCAAAAACGGTGATAGGAAGAAAGAAAAACAATTTAGAAATAAAATTTAAAAAAAAACACTCTAAGACAAACAGAGGAATTTAAGTATTTGGGAGCAATTTTCACATCCGATGGAAAACTGGACAGAGAAATTAGCTTGAGATGTGCCAAAGCTAATCAAGTAATGGGTCAACTATCTCCCCTGTTGACACACAAGAAGATACCCCGGAGTACTAAAGTAAATCTTATCCAAACAATGTTTTTGGCCAACACTGTGCTATCAGTGCCAAATGTGGACACTTACATCCTCCAATGCATGTAAAACTGTGACAACAGAGATGAAATGCCTTAGAAGAGCTGCAGGAGTTTAAAAAAAAGCCAGAATACGAAATCACGAAATCAGAGGAATGATAGGAATAAAACCAGTCTTACAAATCATCAAAGAACAATAAATGAAGTGGTCTGGACACCTAACAAGAATGCCCTGGTACTATCTGCCACAGCGAGCCACACTAAAACGTTACAATGAGTACAGAGCGAGTGGAAGACCTAGGAAAATATGGAGTGATGGCATTAAGAACAGCCTTACAGAAATGAACATCAGTCTTAATAGTGCTCTTGATAGACCTCATTAACGAATGTTATGTCTCCCCCCGACACTTTGTTGAGGTAAAATGGTGGAACAGAAGAAGAAGAAGAAAAAGTATGATAAGTGGATGAGAATACACAAGTAAGAAATTGGATATGCATATGACAAGTGAACAAGTATACAGAGGTAAAAAATTGGATACGCATATGATAAGTGGATCAGAATACAGAGGTAACATTTTGGACAGATGTATGATAAGTGAATGAGAATACAGAGGTAAGAATTTTGATTGGTGTAAGGTAAGTATGGTAAGTAAAATATGAGAATCAACACTGAAAAGACAGAAGTAATGTCAATAGGAAAAAAGAAGACAGATCTAAACATAGCAATAGTGAACAAAGGCATTAAACAGGCATCTGAGTTTAAATATCTGGGAACTACATTTACCGAAGATGGGAAATTGAATAAAGAAATTAACATTAGATGCAGTAAAGCACACCAAGTATTGGGACAGCATAAGACAATCCCAATCAGCACAATGAGACATCTTATTCAAAGCATATTTATTCCAACTCTGTGCTACGAGTGCCAGACATGGTCACTCACAACAAACCATAAAAGAAAATTAGTAACCATGGAAATGAGATGTCTGAGAAGGGCTGTAGGAGTGACCATAAGAGATAAGATCAGGAATGAGATCATAAGAGAAAAAGTCGGCACAGAACCAATTCTAAATTACATACAAAGACAGCAAGTGAAATGGTTTGCCCACTTAGAGAGAATGCCTTGTGACACCATACCATACAAAGCTTACATGGAAAGAGACAGGGCAATAAGGTCTACTGTGTACGTAAATTGTTGCTGTGATTGTTATTTGACATTTGCCTCGTTAATATAAATTTCTGTAACCTATGGTGCCATTTCAATGGGTTGAAATGAATTATGTCCGTATTCCATAGTCGTGGATTTCAAGCTGTACGATAGACATGGCCAATGAGACACCTTTTTTCAGGGGGTGCCGAGTTGACCATGTATCTTAGTACACTTGTATTCATGGCGAGGCGCAGACGCCGTCTGGAGGTGACAGGTTCAATTCCCGGCACGGTAACTATAGCTTTCGATTTTTATGTTGTCTAGTGTGTTCTTCTATCTTTCTACTTCTTTCTATGAGTGCCGTTCACAATACTTTCTGTTACTTGATTAATTCATGGAAAGAGAAGAAGGTCGCAGAGCAAGAGGTAGACCAAGAACAAGATGGAAGGATAACATCAGAGAAGCTCTACAACAGCACAATGTGCCTATGGTCGAGGCAGCCAGAAGAGCCAGAAACAGAACCTTACATTTCCCTCGACACCCACAGTGGAGAGGAAGTGAAGAAGAAGAAGTATGGTAAGTGGATGAGAATATAGAGGTAAGACTTTGGATATGTGTATGAGAAGTGGATGTGAAGATAAAGATGAATTTGGATATGTGTATGATAAGTGTATGTGAAGATAAAGAAGAATTTGGTTATGTGTATGATAAGTGGATAAGAATATACGGGTAAGAATCCAGATATGTGTATGATAAGGATGAGAACAAAGAAGTAAAAACTTGGATATATGTATGATAAGTGGATGAGAATATAAAGAAGAATAAGGATTTGTGTAAGATAAGTGGATAAGAATATACAGGTAAGAATCCAGTTATGTGTATGATAAATAGGTGAGAATACAGAGGTACGAATTTAAATGGGTGTATGATAAGTGGATAAGAATATATGGGTGAAAATCCAAATATGTGTATGATAAGTGGATGATAATATAGAGGTAAGAATTTGGATACGTGCATGATAAGTGGATGATAAAATAGACGTAAGAATTTGGATATGTGTATTAGATGTTACTTTTATTTTAACCTATGTCAGTGAAAGTTGGAGAACCACTAGAGACATGGAACAAACGTTAAATACATTCAAACTCTAACACCTATGGAAAATGATGAGCATAAATTGAGATGAATTCAAAAGTGGTGAAGAACAAAGAGAAATGTCTGGACAACCACTAGTATCAACAGTTAGAGTGAAAAGATGCCGCTATATTGGACACAGCCTGAACAGAAACAATCATCATCAAACAGGCACTGAAATGAGAAATAAAGGGATTAAGGAGGTGAGGACATCCAAAAGAAACCGCAAGACAAACATTGATGAGAGAGGCTAAAGCTGCAGGACTTGATTCCATCCATGACATTGAACTGACAGCACAAGACAGAACGGAATGGAGGAAATGACTTCGAGCCCTATGTGACATAGAACAGCACAAAAGGACAATGAATGAATGTAAATCGGTAAATGGTGAATTTATAGATACATAGATCACTAGCCATAATAGGTGGAAACTTCACAAGGCAAGGGATCTGGCGAGATACTGTTTTTTATCAGGCTGCAATGTGAGCAACATTCTACAAAGGATCTGTTGAATTATGATGGTGATCTTCTTCTTCTTCTCCTTCTTCACTTCCACTATTTACCTCAGTGAGATGTTGGGGGAGATGTAAGGATCGTTTGTGCGCTTTTTCCAATGCATTGTACAAGCTGGTGTTCATTTCTGTTAGGTTGCTCCTGATGATGTCATTCCCTATTTTTGCGTGGTCTTCCCCTGCTCTGTGTTAATTTTATTTCTTCGACATGGCTGTCTGTGGCAGTTGGTACCAGTGCATTCTGGTCACATGGCTAAACCATTTCATTAATTGTTCTTTAATGAACTGCATGACTGGTTTCAGTCCTAGTTTTCTTCTAATTTCTTCATTCCTGATTTTATCTCTTCTTGTCACACCGGCAGCTCTCCTAAGACATCTAATCTCTGTTGTTACGATCTTCTGCTCATTAGTTTTAGGAAAGGTCTATGTTTGGCACTGGAAGCACAATGTCGACCAAAATACTGTTCTTATGAGATTTGCTTTGGTTCTAGGCGTCAGAAGCAATGTTAATTGCCCCATAACCTGATTTGCTTTTGCACATTGTATGTTGATTTCTCTGTCCATTCTTCCATCTGAGATGAAAAAATGACCCTATATATTTAAATTTGCTCCTTTGTTTTATTTCTGTGTTAGTTACTTTAATTGATATGGTTTCTTCTTGTCTGCCTAATACCATTGCCTCTGTCTTATCAGTGCTTATCCTCAGATTATATTTCTCACACTTAGTATTGACTTGGTCTTTAGCACAAAGGATCTAAGGAGAACAACCCAACCATAAATTACAGTCATATTCAGGACACTGGAAGCATAGCCAGAGAGATGGACACACTACAAGGAAACCTCACCAAGACAACAGAACCAGCAGGGAGGACTCAGACATGTTCAGGCGTGACACATCGCATAGTTAGGAACACTAAGCACCAACAAACCATTCGAGCCATCAAACTTGGCGCAAATAAAACCAGACCATAATTCTTCTTCTTCTTTTTCTTTATGTTTATCAGCTGTAAACTCTGGCAAAAAAGATGTGGTTGTTTGTCCACTTCTGGACTGCAGTCCTGTTACAGAACCTGAATTTTGCGTCTGCATCCGTTTTTACAGATCTGATTCATTTGTATGCAGACTGTTGGTTCCTTGCCTTTCAGGCAGATGCACTCCGACTTCGAAGAAAGCTTCCAATTAGTCAACTCTTAGGACATGCTTTTTAGTAGGCAGTGGGTCTATTCCCCCCCCCCCCCCCACCCCCAATAGGGCCCGAGAACCCACACAGGGAAGACCAGCTGGGTTACACATGGTCACATTTTTTTCCCCTTTTCATCAAACCAACCAACAACAAAAACAACAACACTACACATACAACATGCTGAGATCAGAGTTGAAACTTACTGTTCATCTGCTGATAAATAAAGTGGACAGTTTTGCGGAAGGATGACACTACATCTACAGCCAATGTGTCATCTGCCTCTACCCACGGGGCAACGATGCTGCCATCTGCAGCCGTAAGAGGTTGAATCCAAGGGTGATAAACCGTCACCACAGGCTGCCACAGCAGAGCCATAACTAGAACAAACAATAAAACAACACTGTTTAAACTACTGTAAAACACAGATTGAAGATTAAACATCTATAAATATAACTGGAAAATGCTTGTTCCTAAAGTGGTAACCATGGAAATGAGATGTTTGAAAAGGGCTGCAGGAGTAACTTAAAGGGATAACACTAGAAATGATATCATAACAGAAAAAGTCAGCATAGAACCAATTCTTAACTACATACAAAGATGGTAAATCAAAAGATTTGCCATAAAACTGTTCACTAATTGGCCAACTGTCCATGATTCACTTTTGTATATTAGTTTAGGTTGTATACAGCTTTGAGAATTCTCTTTCTTGTCTGAACTATGAAAGATCTCACAGAATATTTTTCATTTTGTGAAATGCATAAGCCAAGTAATTGACAAGTTAGATATTGTGAGGGCCCTTTGGGAGTGAGTGAACAGTGCAGAAGGGCAAACTGATCATTACGGTCTAAGAAGAATGGCGCTGCGATGAGTTACCAGGGGATCTGGCCGACGCTCTAAACTCAAGGGAAGGATGAGACGGATATACAATCAGATGGTTACTAGTACCATCAGAATCGGAACTCTTTGCTTGCTGCTGAAGATGGGGACTGAGCACTTATAGGAGTGTCCTGAGTGCTGTGATGTTGATTCTTAATTCAACATTAAACATTCCAAGTACTTAAATGTACCAACTTTCTTGAGGTTTGTACCAAAACTCATCAGTGTACTTACTCTGGTATGGAGGCATGTCTTCGTTTCCATTAATCACCTTGGTAACAAAACTGCGTGCCAAGGCACCCATCATCAGGCTGATGTAAGGCACATAGCGACCCCACCAGGAATAGAGGCCAAAGTTCATGGTCTGTGGATCAGTCATTCTCATGTGCAAGAAAAATGAGCTTAACCAGTCCAGTAATTCCTTCACCTAAAGATGCACAAGTAAAAACAAATAAATAATGTCTAACTAACAATAAACTCACTGATTGAAATGTTTTGTGTTGTCTATTTCTTCTAGACCAGTGTTTCCCAAACTTTTCATTTTCACGGCCCCTTTTTTCAATAAAAAATTGTCCATGGTGCCCTAACCTAAGTAAAAGTATGACTATTCATATGTAACTTGTGTGTCTTCGAATATTTCGTGCGCGCAGTTTGGGAATCACTGTTCTAGACAAATGTGAAATCTGGACAATTTAAAGTAAGTCTTCTTCTTCGTGTTCACCGGCTGTAAACTTCGGCAGAAAGTTCTGGTTGTTCATCTACTTCTGGACTTTTAGTCTTTTTTCCAGAACCTGAGTGTTGCGTGTACATCCGTTTTTGCATGCAGCTGTTGGTTCTTTGCCTCTCAGGCTGGTGCACTCCAACTTCAAAGAAAGCTTCCAATTAGTAGACTCTTACAATATGCTTCTGGGTAGGCGGTGGGTCTATTCTTGTTTCCCCTACAAAAGGGCCCCGGAACCCACAAGTAACACATCACCAATCAGCAGCTTCTTTAGAGTACTTTGGTCTCTTCATAACATGCCTGAATGATTATTTTTTGTTCTTTAGCCAATTCTTCAGCCCTATGTGCTTTCAGAACCAATGCATCTTCAATGTTCTTTCTGTATCCATGTTCGCAGAGGTCTGCCTATAGCTCGTTTTCAGGAATCCGTACACTACATCACAGTTAAGAGTTATGAGATAGATTATCTTCACAGCACTACTGACACATCCATAGGCACTCAGATTCCCCCCTCAACACATTCATCAGCGTTGCGCGGTTAATAGTGCCAGTCCTATGTTGGTTAACACGGCTTCGTATGCATCCAGTGTGCTTCTCATGCTTGTCTGTGCTGATCTTTACTCCCAATTCTCATATTCTTAGCAGTGATGTGGACACGTTGCTTCCAAAATCCTTAGAACATCCCATCTCTCTAAGTGCAATGACAATGTCTGCGTGATCCATGGGCCGGCCATCTTCAATTAATACAACATCTGCAAGTCTATCAGGCACATTTTTTTTCAGGTCACCATGACATTTAACATGACCAAAACACCTCAACATTCAGGATAGGATGCTCAAAAGCTTCAATATTTTCTTCAATGTGCTGAGTTGAGTTGAGTTGAGTCAAAAATTGACATCACAGCACTTGGGGCATTCCCATGTATACTCCGTCATCATCCTTAGCAGCCAGCGCAGAGTTCCAATACTGATGGTATCGGTCACAATCTGGTCATATTTCCATCTTGCCTTTCCTCTGAGTGAAGTGAGCCGGCCAGATCTTCTGGTTACACCCAGGTGCCTCACTCTCTCCAGGCCATAATAATCTTGTTTTTCTACTAACTCTATTGCTTGTTCCAAAAGAACCTTGACCACATCTACCTTGTCATGAATCAACTCACCATGATTAAGTAAGAGCCCAGACTCATATTGTAATGTTTCAAATGTTGAAAATTAATGTTTTTTTTCTTTTTTTAAACTGATACCTGCACTGTTGAGAGTTTTGAGTCTACACATGTTTCCACTTGTGATGGATCAAACATGGTGTCTGATCTCTCACGTCCAGTAGAATCACTGTGCAGCAGAGCTCGATTAGTGAAACACGACTTCAGCAATGTCTCCCAGACTCGGGTGTGCAATCGTTCAGACACAGATCCTGCAAGAGAGTGACATCATAGAATCAGCTAACAGAAAAACTGTAGTTTTATACAAATCTTTGAGCTATGGTAATGGTAACAGAAAGTAGTGCCGTCTTAACAGCGTTTTGGGCCTCTGGCAAATCAGTGTGCTGAGATCCCTTCGACAAGAACTCACAGGAACAAAATTTGTATTTATGACTAAACACTTAGTCGTGTATCCTTTACAGGATGCTGCAGAACTAACCCCAGTATTTTTTGTCTGTTGTGGTTTTTCTAGGCAAATTTTACGTTCAGTAGTTTGCCACTGCTTCCTTAACGGTCAGCTCTCTGTACCACTGTCAAAATTAGCGCAATACATATTGTCTGCAGCAGGGATAAAACCCCGCACCCTGGCATTACGAAGCACGTTTGCAGTGCCTAAGTCACAGCATCAGTTGCTATACTTGTGGGGCCCCTGAGTAGGTGCCCAGTGGGTCTATGCGTTAAGACAGCAATGCTGGGAAGTTGCTGCAATCGGCATGATGTTTTTCACATCACCTCAACAAGTGCGATTTTTCTACTTTTTCAGCCTTCCAAACCCTTGAGGTTCATTACTACAGATATCACCCGTCTCTGTTTATCTCTCTGGTTAGCCTTCTCTTTCCAGTTGGTGACATCAAGTGTTTGTGTTTGCAGATCTATCTGGATATTATCTCTCTGTCATCTTCAAAATTTGACTTAAAAACCTCAATGGAGGGAATGGAAAAGACGCACACACACACAACCCAATGTTTCAACCAAAGTCTTTATCAATATACTAAAATACAGCACAAATTGTGACTGGAAGACTGGAAAACTCAACGGACAAGACAACAGAGACAATAGAAAAAAAAAAAAACAAGGTCAAAATGAAACCAAGAAATACGTAATGGGGAAGAACTATGAATATGAAGAACTATGATGTGAAACAAAATAAGTAAGAAGGCACATGTGAAAAGAGGGGTGGGGGAAAATGAATAAGTTTAATAAGTAAACAAGAAATTAAATTAAATTAAGGTGGGTTGAATATTGATCCCTCCAGGACTGTTGAATGTTGAATATTGAATTAGGAATCAACATCACAGCACTCTAGACACTCCCATAAGTGCTCAGTCCCCATCTTCAACAGCAAGCGAAGAGTTCCAATTCCGATGGTACCAGTAACTGTGTGATTGTTTATCCGTCTCGCCCTTCCTCTGAGTGTTGAGCGTAGGCCAGATTCTCTCCAGGACATAGAACACCATGTTAACCTTGGTATGTTGTCTTGTCCATTGAGTTTTCCAGTCACAGTTTTTGCTTTGCTGTATTTAGTACTCCGTTCAATGGTACAAGAACGGAGCACTTATGGAGTGACCCATCTGCTATGAAATTGAAACTGTAATAATCTAATAACCTGTTTATTTCTTTACTAAACAGCTGCAGCAAATTTGTGTGCACACCTTACCTTGAAGTATCATGTTGATAACGATGTAGAGACTGGAAGGGAAATTACTCTCAAGGACTGCAGCCAGATGTGACAAATACAGCTGAGAAAAAACCGAGAAGTTTGCTGGTTAACAGTGGGACACAGATATGGTTACATCATAGGTAGTTTTACAGTACTTCTTTCTGCAGTTATATAATAATTTTTCTTGTAGTTAAACAGTATTTTTTCTTGTAGTTATACAGTATTTCTTCTAGCAGTTATATATTTATTCTCATTGTTAATGTAAATATGCAGTATTTCTACTTATCCCCCCTGCCCCCACATGCCTCATCGACTGACACATGATCATGAATCTCCATAAATATCTGGTTTACCAGTTTGTTAGCCTACATTCTTTCATTCGATGATAAATAACATACTCCTTACAGCTTATCATCTTACTTATCAAAACTTACCCCAAACACCAGCTTGGACTCTGAGGGCGGTTCAGCTCCACATGCCATCATCGCAGACCCTAGTGACTCCACAAACCTCTTCCTGTCTGCTTCATTAGGGCAGGTCGATGTCAGCCAGTTCCGAATGTCGAACTAGGGTCAATACAACAGGTTACAAGCAGTCATCAGTGACGTCAAGATATACATGTTAATTAAAACAGAACAAATAATTAAAACAGAAGCAGAAGAGCGGTGTGTCAAAATCATTTCCCTAACAATGTTTATTGATTAGGTATTAGTCAGTATGTGTGATACCTGCTGCTTTTACTTTCTCATAATTGTAGAATTTATTTGGTAAAAAAGATTTAGCCGTCATCCTAAGAAAGCCAGTTTTCTGACTTTTAAGGGTTTATACTGCCATGATGTCTTAAGGCAGTGGCTAATATGTCTATATGACATGTATGGTACTAGTTGCACCTGCACAGTGTGTAGTCATGGTGATTGTGATTATATTTGCCCCCCAAAACAATGTTTTTTTTTATATTACTTTGAGTAAAATTAAAGAAACTAGTCACGTACACACTAGGTCACTTGTGATTGGTGCTAGGTCAGGCTTGTGAACTTTGCTCAGGGTTAGAGGGGTGTCGCAGTGTACTGTTTGCTCGAAAAGCTTTCTACGTTGTCTTCTATTTACATTTTAGCTAGCAAGCTTGCCTGCCTGCTCTGTGGTCAGGGTTTCAACTCCCAGTGACCAAGACTCAAAATTTTTTTACTTCTTCTTCTCTAAATACTCTTGATCCCCATGTGGGATGAATTTTTAATTACTTTGATGCCCCACTCTGGTTAGTGCCGGGGGCCCTATTATTACCTAACGGTTGAATGGGGTTTCTGGGGCCTCTCCATGGGCGATCCTCGTCTGAATGGTGGCACTTTATGTCACTGGGTGTTTATCGCTCAGTGTGATGTGCTGGTGGGGTTGAACGTCAATATCTTCCTGAAATTTCTTAGGGTATAGTTTTAGACAATTATAATGAAACAGACACAATGAATCAGAAGAAACAATTTGCATTTCAGTTGAATTTATTCAGTTTTGTGCTTTAAATTATGTTGATGTAACTCTGTAGTAACGTACCTGATGAGATACAGCGAAATATGCCTGGCAATAAATTGTATCTGCACTATTCAAATATTTTATAGCCCGTTTTAATAAACATAGTGAGAGAGAAAAGTCCCTGAAACCCTGTCCTTACAATGAAGAGCTTAGTATGCAAGCAAATACTGGTGTAGCTCCATAACTAGAAGCAACAAGATGCCTTATTACCACAAGCAGTTCCACTGTCAGACTTCTTGTGGTTGTGATGGAAGGCCATGCTGTAGTAGCATGATGGTTCGAAGCTTGCCTGGTAACCTAAAGTTTTTGATTCAAGTCCTCAACAAGGCAGATTTCTAAAATTGATCTAAGGCACTAAGGTCAACCAGAAATACATTTAGTATCAGGAATTGTCCTGGAAAATAAAGGTGGTTGGCATAATGCTGAAACCGTCCACAAAGTGCTGACTGGTTTATAGAAATGTTGATCTTGCACTACAGGGAGGGAGGTGGGTTTCAAATGGAAAGCTTTAAAAAACAGCGACAGTAATTGAAATAACCTTGCCATTATCTTATAACCTGTCAGTATTGTTAAAGATGTCATAAGTGTTAAGCATGTGACACCATGGTGCAGACAAACAAGACGACATCATAATTACAGTTACAATATGGCCGCCCCACTTTTAGCACACACCAAAGAGAAGCAGCATTCAGTTATCAGTTTCTGATCAGTGAAAGAATAAAACCTATAGAAAGTCATCATCATCATGTAGCAGTCCCTTTGCAGAAAGTCGCTCTTATCACAGTCTGCCAGAAAGAAACTTGATCTCTCACCAGCTCTCCGGTGTCATGTACTTTCATATTCAAGGAGTCACTTATATGCCCATCTTCGTGTTGGTCGACCCCTGACCCTCCTTCCTGGTACCATGCCTTCTGCTATTATTTTGTCCACTCTGCCATGGAGCTTAATATGACCCACAGCAGGGATAGAGTCCTTTACTTTTCACTTAAAAACAAAAGGATGAATAAGGTAAAAAAAAAAAAAAAACTCCATTCCTCCATTTACCCCAGAGTGTTAACTTTGGTACCCATTTCCTAGAGACTGGGTGAATGCCGAGAACCGTCCGGTTTTGAACACCGGTCATGGGCTGCATTGAGTCAAAGCTGGATTTGAAAGAGAGTCTCCTATCGACTGCCTTAACACAGCCCCAATTAAGGTACCAACAACATATAAATAAACTGTTACCTTAGTGAGCAGCATGAAGACAAGATCCATGTTTTGGTTCTGTAGAACATGCAGCAGCTGTCCATACATGAACACCAGGTTCTGTGGGCAGGCATTCGGGACAAAGTGAGGGGAGATGAGTCCGGCCACCGATGGCTTCTCTAGGCACAACTGGAGAACATGCTGGGTCTGATGTGGGTTCTGAGACACAAAATGCTGCAAACAGAAGGAACATGCCTAAACAATGTTTCCCATCATCAATTTAAATTATGTGGACACAAACAATACATTGCAGAATTTATTGCCTGGCATATTTTGCTGTATCTCGTCAGGTGCATTACTACAGAGTTAAATCAACGTATCATGAAGCATAAAAATGAATCCTTTTCACTCTTATCAACAGAAGAAGAGAATGATCAAATCAATCAGAATGCCACCGAAACTAGCACAAGATGATTACCATATTATGGACAGACCAGAGCAAGTTATTATCCTTCGCCTTAGAACAGGGCACAATAGACTTCGCTCCCACATGTACAACAAATTTAAGATTGGCCAATCGGCCATGTGTACTTGTGGACTGGCACCTGAAACAACAGATCACATCCTTCAAGACTGTCCCATATTCAACGCTTTCAAGCAAAACATTTGGCCAAAAGAGACACTTGTGGAAGTCAAACTTTACGGGCCGCTTAGTGAATTACAAAAGACAGTGAAATTCATACAAGAGACGGCTTTGCAGATATAGACAATTTATTTCATGCGAACGAAAGAAGAAGAAGAAGAATCCTTTTCACTGAAATGCATCGACCACATTGTCAAGTTATTGTACATCTCTCCATTGGAAAATCAAGATCAGCCACATGATTACCATGGTAACTGTAAATTTACCACATGAGTTTTGTTTACATAACACAGGACAGTTCAGTTTTATTGTTACGGCCTCTGCCACTTTTAGCAAATGTCTTTTCAATGTGTTCAGAGTCAAGAAATGTTTAGATGGACTAGGCATGATTAATTTTTTACTAAAAATAGCATTGGGGAGAAGTTATTGTGAAAATTGTATATCCTTTACAGGCACTGCAGAACCGACCCCAGTATTTTTTAGCTGTTTGGTTTTACTAGACAGTTTTACATTCAATAGTTTGTCATTGCTTATTGAATGGTTGCAACTTGATAGCACTGTGAAAATTCAGTGCAATACGGTATGTTGCCAAATCGCCTCTAGCTGGAATCAATCTGGATACCTCTGAAGTACCAAGCTAGTTCGCAACACAGAGGCCAACGTATTCTCTCCACCCCCCCCCCCCCCCCCCAAGCAAAAACATTCATTATAACAACACACTGACCCTATGACCACTAGTTGGGTTTATAGATAACTTCATATATTTGCAATACTTATTTTTAGTGTAAGTAAAGGACCCTTTTCCACACCTTTAGGTGTATTGGGCATATAGGGCTAAACCTATATTTTATAGACCAATCAGCACTCAGTGGGTGATGTGGTCAGCATCACGCTGATGACCTTTACTTTCCAGGACTGCACCTGGTAACCACTCAAGGCTGGGTTGACCTGGCAGTAAAGGTTATTTTTGTAAACAAGTCTGGCTCCGTCAGGGCCCGAACCCACAACATTCTGATTCTCAGGTCTAGCCGCTACACCAGGGCGACTCCCTGTTTTAAATGTACATAAATAAAATAAATGTGTAATGTACTGTTGCAGGACCAACCCCAGAGTTTATTGGTAGTTGTGGTTTCTCTAGGCAAATTTAACATTCAGTAGTTTGCCATTGCTCTTTGAACGGTCAGCTCTCGGTACCACTGTCGAAACCAGCGCAAGACAAATCGTCTGCAGCAGGGATCGAACCTGGCTCCCGGGGAATACAAAAAATGTATTAGCTTCCTATGTAAAATCACTGTTTTTAAGGATCTGGGCATGGGGAAGTAGACTCCACGGGGTCACCCCCTACCTTACCCCCAAAGGGTTTCTGGGGTGACAGGGTTGAATCATTAGTGTAGTTAGTTATTAGAAAGAAAACACATGAAAGTCCAGACCTGTCCCAGGATGTCAATGCAGGAAGCCAGAAACAGTTTAGTTGGAGGATAGAAGTCGGTCTCGCTACTGACAAGTCCGGCCATGTAGAAGAAGAGATGGCAAGCAATGTCATTGATTTTTTTCAGCCGGGCTTCATCCGTGGTTCTCTGGAACTGCTTGATGAGCAACCTAAACAAGAAGATACACATAATCATGAAAGATTAGTGATTAGAAAGGATTATCATCATAGCACTCTGGACAAATCCATAGGTGCTCCGATCTCCTCCTCAAAAGCTCTACAAGTTTAAAATGACAGATGATGCCTGTTCTGTGTTGGTCAACTCTTTGAGTCCCAGGAAACGCATCATACGTTCATATGTTCCTACGTAGAAAGAATCCCAATGAATGCATGATACTCTCTCTTTACTACCCATTGGGCCTGTGATGCTAAACTCAAAGAGTTAATGAAACGTCTTGTCCCCTTAGTGAAATGTTCATTTCTTGCAGCTCCAGGCTGCACTCCCATGTCCATCAGTCTAGACAGGGGTAAGGAGTCACGTCATCTGGCATGCTTCTCCGTACGGCAAGTGCAGCACATGGCATTGATAACATCACTTCTGTCCAGTACTGGACTAGCCATAGCAACTGCAGTGTCAGCAGGATAGTCTGCACGCTGTTATCCTTGAACACCCGCATGAGCTGACACAAAGATGAAGGTTAGGGCAGCTATTCATGAAGTGCTTAGTGTTGCAATCCATTCTTGCCTGATAAATCCAGCCTGGATTTTTTAAAGCATATTCATAGTCATTAAGAATGCATATGTGTGTGAGCTTTTGAGTACCAAGCCATAATGCAACATAATGTAATATGCCGACTTCACAAAGAATGGAACTCATGTCTTTTATGCCAGTAAAGGGCATGATAAGGTTCTAACCACAGACTGTAAAACTATATAAAAAGTAAGGGACTCTTTTTAACACCTTCAGCAACTCATTCACTTCCTCTTTTACCACTCTGGGTGTTGAGTGAGAGATAAGGTTCTGCTTCCTGCTCTTCTAGCTGCCTCAACCATAGATACATCATGCTGTTAAAGAGTTCCTCCGATGTTATCTTTCCATCTTGTTCTTGGTCTACCTTGTGCTCTACATACTTCTCCTTTTTTAGTGTATGCCTTGTATCGTACGGCATCACAAGGTATTCTCTCCAAGAGGGCAAACCATTTAATTAGCTGTCTTTGTATCTAATTTAGAATTGATTTTGTGTCTCATTTTTTTTCTTATGACCTAATTCCTGGTTCTATTTCTTATGGTCATTCCTGCAGTCTTTCTCAAACACTTCATTTCCATGGTTATGGTCTGTTGTGAGTGACCATGTCTAGTATTGGCAGCATAGCGTGGGAATGAATATACTTTGTATGAGATGACTTCGGGTCCAATATGGAGGATCCTCATGGCAGAATGTTTAGCTTTATAGTTATATTTTCTTCTGACAGCACTTTACTAATGCAGTTTCCACATACGGACAGGAGTCTATGGTTTCACTGCCTAAGCTACTGGGTAAAGTGCTTGTGAGCTGTGTTAAAATATTGAATGCCTTTCATTTATGCAGGTGTTGTGTCATGTTACTGAGTATGGCTGGTAGCCGGTTTAAATGTGGTCTGGCAAAATACCTTTTGTAATAATTGTACGTGTTTATAGCAAACTTATCGTGACTAACTACTTCGATCAATGACAAAATGCATTTCTGGTGATGACTATTCATTTTGGCGCCTCTAGCAACTGCTTCTTGCATTTACTGTGTGTGCATATTTCTGGACTGTGCTGGGACTAATTGTTAGTTCATCATTTTTTTTTTTCAAATGGGACAGACAGGGGCATTTCATTTGATTTTCACTGGCACAGGAACGGATTACGTATGGGATGACCCGAATACAGTGAAGCCAAAACCTCAACTAAGACTATATGAGATGTTTTTGTGTGCTGATGAGGATAGTCTTGTGCTGTAAGATGAGGGCTAGCTGTCCCAGTACCATTTATTCAACACCTGGGTATGTGATGGTCTCCATATTTGTATAGATCAATCGACACTCAGTGAGTGATATGATGAATATCACACTGACCTCTTCCAGAAGATTTGTTGGTAGATAGTTTAGACTGAGTCAAACTGGCAGCCCAGGCTAAAAGAAACCTTGCTTCAATTGGGATTCAAATCTATGATCCTTGAGCAAGCAAGCAACCATGCTATCCAATGCACAACCAAAGAGCCTTTACAGCATGTAGCTTGTCATGCATAAATTTACCATCAAGGGGTGCAGAACCAGCCAATCTATCTGCCTGTTAATTTCCCAACATGCCACTGTCACCTGGAGAAAATATCCAAAGGAATACATAAACTAAAATATACAAAAACATGATAGCCCTGTCTTACAAAAAACAGACAGGCCATACACAATCTTACGTGATGATATTTTCTGTATGTACAGCAGCCACACATATACTAGGAGCTGTGGGCAGCAGAGACTCAATCATGACTTGCTTGTATTCAACCCTATTTTCATCTATCCTTCGCTGGACTATCTCATTCAGCTGTTTCACTTGCAGCTGCAACAGACATCAGAAATGTTCGTATGTTATTGGGTACAGACTTCAACTGCTCCAACAAGCTAAGAGGAAAAATATAATCTAAAATTATGTCAGAAATAAGAAGACTATGATCACACCATGATCAATGATGTACAGACCAGGCAGGAAAAGACGAGGCAGACCAAAGGGAATTGCAGAGTCCCTGGGAATCTATGTTTCTGAAGCCCACAAATGGGCGCTTTCCCGTAAATTATACTTTACCAGGAAGGTACAGGAGTATCAAGATGACATAAGACGAGATGAGATGAGATAGGATGAGTTGAGTTGAGATGAGATGAGGTGAGATGAGTTGAGTTGAGATGAGCTGAAAGGAGATGACTTGAGATGAGATGACTTGAGATGAGGTGAGATGAGTTGAGATGGGAGGAGATGAGTTGAGCTGAGATAAGTTGAGATGAGATGAGTTGAGATGAGATGATTTGAGATGAGATGAGCTGAGATGAGATGAGACTGATAAGACCAAGTGTCCAATATGGCTCTGAAACTGGGCATACAAATGAAAGAGTGAAGCGTATTTTCAAACCTTTGAGAAAAGAATCTCATGTTAAATCTGTGGACCCATCAAAGATGCAAACAGCACTGAAGAGAAACAATAACAAAATTCAAAATCTGTTTACATCACCAATAATTAATGGCATCATTATGTATAATATACTGCAATGGTTAAAACATATAGAGAGAATGGCAGTTAACAGAGAGACAAAAACTGTGTACACAAAAGAGCTGAATAACATTGGACCACGAGGCAGATCATGGTGAACATAGAAAGATAATTAAAAAACCCACAAACTCATGGTGTGGTATCTGCAGCAGTGATCCTCCGAGGGCTTGGAAGGCTGAAGAAGCAGAAGCAAAAGAAGATTAGGCTGAAGAAGCAGAAGCTGAAGAAGCAGAAGCGGGAGGATGATCGTGATATCTATTTAGATTTACATTAAAACAGACATTTAGACATGTCATTAGAGAATGTGAATCCTGAAACAGACCTTAGAAATGTTCTTTTAATGGCAAAAGACCAGGGACAACAACATGTCTTTTTCTTTTTTTTGTTCACTGGCTGTAAACTCTGGTGGAAAGTTCTGGCCATTTGTTTACCTCTGGACTTTGATCTTGTTCCCTTGTTCAAGTACCTGAGTGTTGCATGCACATCTGTTTAACAGATCTGACTTACTTGTTTGCAGATTGTTGGTTCCTTGCCACAATGCCTTTGAAGGAAGCCTCAAGTTATTTTACTCTTTCGACATGCGACATGCTTGTTGGGGAGGCAGAGGGTCTTGTCTATTCTTGTCTTCCCCACATTGTGGCCCTGGAACCCACACAGGGAGCAACAATATGTGAACACAAGTATCTTACCTTGAAAGGTATCACTGCTGGACCAGTACAGCGATGTAGCGGGTTGACCTTGCTTCCACACTCGATTGTTAGACTTAACTGTTGAATAGTACAAATGAAATTAAGTGAATTTCATTAGTGGTATATAAAACTGAAATCATAACGACGGATCAAGAGAATGCGTGCATCACACAGGTATAATCTTCTTCAGTCATCGGATGTTGGGGTTCATACTAAGGGGAGGATCTGAGCACCTATGGACATGTCCGGAGTGCAGTGATGATAACCCAACTAACTAACTAACTAACTCTTCTTCAGCATCCTGAGCCCTTGAGGTTAATTGCTGCAGATATCACCTGTCTCCATTCATCTCTCTGGTTGGCCCTCTCTTTCCAGTTGGTGACACCAAGTGTTTGTAAGTCTGTCTGGACTTTATCTTTCCAATATCTTCTTGGCGTGCCTCATGGTGTATGACCATTCAACACAGGTATAATGATGTTCTAATTATTTCTAACTAATTAACAGGTGAGTGTCTTCTCAAACAGTCCCAGTGCCAAATGACTTTTCATACTTTCTTCTTCATTAGCACTGGAGCTAGATATTTATCATAACTACAATCCATTGTTTTATCTGTTAAAAGGCTTGTCCATCCTGTTAATAGTTTATAAGTGAGATGTTAGAGTACTGAGGTTTCATGTGGAAGATCTAGGTTCAATCCTCTGTAAGGGAGAGTTTTTATCTATCCAGGGCAAAAATAACAATCCTAACCTGCAAAGTTAATGACAACTGACATTAAATCCTGAGGCTTAAAGTTCACACTCTTTTGTGCCTTTTATCCTCAACAGCATTTAAACGTTAAGTACAGGCAGCAAAGACAGTTTTTAACCCTACCAGACCGCTAGCCCGGTTTACCGGGAATTTCTTAACCTGTCTCTATACCGCTGGCCCTAATTTTCGGCTTTTTGCGTAGTACGGGAAAACGATGCGTCACGGACTAAAAATAACCACCCAATCGTTATCAATCCTCTTTGTTAGACATTGCAAATGTCTGCCCGCATGTGTTTGTATTATATTTGTGTTGTTTTGCGAGGAAAAATTCTGAAAATTCACAATGATGAACCAAGTTCTAGGCTTTTCAGTCTAACAGGTGATCGTTACTTTGGTTTATTCAGACTCTGTGATATATATATATATATATATTATCTGTGATAATTTCATAAAGAATACGTTCTTGAAGTGACACTGTCAGTGAGAGCACGAATGATGAGGAAAATCTTGAAAATTATCAATCTTGAAATAGATCGATAGAAGGAGAAGGGGGTGTGTCCATCAAACGGCAACATGTGGTGTTCACTTTGTGAAACAAAGTTGATCCTGATGAGTGAATTCGTACACAAAGGTGGAATATTGGCACTAGATAATAGGTAAGCCTATTTTCTAAAATGTCTCCAAGTTTCATCATATTCTAGCCACTCGTTTGCATGTAACTAATATTTTTGTATATCATGTTGGTTTTTTAAGCTGTTTCCTTCATTAAGTTCTCGAGTGCCTGACTGTTCACCAGTGTGCTTGCTGTTTAACTATAGCACAGTGGGCATTCCTCAGCGTGAAGCAGCAGCTGCCCCAAAGTACCTCATTCAATTCTTCTCAAGAGAAAGTGGTTACAATGTCTCCTATCTTACCCTCAAAGACAGCACCGGCAAGCTTCACCAGGTTTCATTTCGAGGTTAGTGTTCTGTATAAGAGGATTAACTGCACAAAGATTCAACACAAAGCCAAGGAAAGGGGAGAGAAATGTGACTTACAGTTTTAGTGACATTTGAATAGAGCTCTGACACGAGTTCAACATAGGCATTATCCAAGGCACAGTGGTGAGCCAAGCGGGCTGAGAAAATCCTGGAAACGCACAAAACAAGGACAATTCACAAAAAAATCATTTTAAGGATGGCTAGGCCTAGGAAAAATGAGACATTTGGAGCATTTGCTGTCTTATTCTTCTTCTCTTCCACCTTGTACCTTAGCAAAGTGTCGGGGGGCGATGTAACATTCGTTGAAGAGCTCTGTCAAGAGAACTATTAAGACTGATGTTCATTTCTGTAAGGCTGTTCTTAATGCCATCACTCCATATTTTCCTAGATCTTCCGCTTGCTCTATACCCGTTATAACGTTTCAGTGTGGCTTGTTGTGGTAGATAGTGCCAGGGCATTCTTGTTAGGTGTCCAAACCACTTTATTTGTCATTCAGCATTTGCTGTTTAGCTTCTGTCAAAGATTTTTTTTTTCAAACCTTTTTTATTCCAAATGTCTACAGCCGGGCTTTTCCACTGGCAGCCTGTAAGCCTAGGAAGCTGTCCAGGGATTGTTGCCAGTTGTAGCATTATTAATTATTCTAGGCTCGGCCTCTGACGATCGCTATTTTCAATATTTTGAATTAAGAATCTACATCACAGCACTCAGGACACCCCAGTATGCACTCCATCCCCATCTTTAGCAGAGAGCAATGAGTTCCAAATTAAATTCCGATGGCACCAGTAATTGTCTGATTGTATATCTGTCTCGCCTTTTCCCTGAGTGTTGAGTGCCGGCCAGATCCTCTTGTAACTCCTCACAGTGCCATTCTCCCCAGACCGTAATGATCTATCTGTGCATCGGCACTGTTCAATCACTCCCAAAGAGATCTCACAACATCCAGCTTGTTTATCACCAAGCGGTGCAGAACCAGCCAGTCTATCTGCCTGCACATTTTCCAACACACCGGCATGACTTATGGGCAAACATATTTTAAATAAGTATTTCAACAAATAAATATAGCTCAAGTAATTGCTGAAATCAAAACAATCGCTCAATAGCTCTGGTCCATTTTTTAACTTGTTTTATCTCGAGCAGCTGTCAGTTGAACACTGCTGTCTCAAGCCACTCTTGTTTTATCTGGAGCAGCTGTTAGTTGAACACTGCTGTCTCAAGCCACTTTTGTTTTACCTGGAGCAGCAGTTAGTTGAACGCTGCTGTCTCAAGTCACTCTTGTTTTACCTGGAGCAGCTGTTAGTTGAACACTGCTGTCTCAGGCCACTCTTGTTTTACCTGGAGCAGCTGTTAGTTGAACACTGCTGTCTCAGGCCACTCTTCTTTTACCAGGAGCAGCTGTTAGTTGAACACTGCTGTCTCAGGCCACTCTTCTTTTACCAGGAGCAGCTGTTAGTTGAACACTGCTGTCTCAGGCCACTCTTCTTTTACCTGAAGCAGCTGTTAGTTGAACACTGCTGTCTCAGGCCACTCTTCTTTTACCTGAAGCAGCTGTTAGTTGAACACTGCTGTCTCAAGCCACTCTTGTTTTATCTGGAGCAGCTGTCAGTTGAACACTGCTGTCTCAAGCCACTCTTGTTTTATCTGGAGCAGCTGTTAGTTGAACACTGCTGTCTCAGGCCACTCTTCTTTTACCTGAAGCAGCTGTTAGTTGAACACTGCTGTCTCAGGCCACTCTTCTTTTACCTGAAGCAGCTGTTAGTTGAACACTGCTGTCTCAAGCCACTCTTGTTTTATCTGGAGCAGCTGTTTGTTGAACACTGCTGTCTCAAGCCACTCTTGTTTTATCTGGAGCAGCTGTTTGTTGAACACTGCTGTCTCAAGCCACTCTTGTTTTTATACTTTTACCCCAACCTTCTATTATTTTAGCTCCTTTATCTGACGATCTTATTAAACTGTTTTAAATCTTATATAGCATAAATCTGTGATTTAAATTATCTCAGGTATATGTATTTCTGTTGATGTAATGATTTCTTTTCAGCTCTTTTATCTGATAAATTTTATTTAATTTTAAAAAATCTTTTATTGCATATGTTGGTGATTTAAATTTATTTCAGGTATGTGTATTTATGTAGATTTAATTTTAGCTCACGTATCTGCTGATTTAACTTTGTCTCAAGTATCTGTTGATTTACATTTATCAAAAGTATCTGTTGCTTTGACTCTTTTACTTCAAACACCTGTTGTTTTAACCCTGTTATCTTAAGAAGCTGTCAATTTACCCTATTTTTCTGTATATAAGATGCCCTCATGTATAAGACAAACTCTATTTATTTATTTTTTAGCCCAGAATTAAGAACAAAATATTTTAAACACATTCAATGTATAAGACGACCCCAAATTTTATTTTAGATTGAAAAATATGGTAACTCTTTCAGTTGCAGATGGATTTCCAGAAAATGTTTAAAGTAACCACTGTAAAAATCAGGAGTACCCGAATACGACAAGAAGCTGCAGTAGCACACTAGCTAGCAAACTTTCCTGTTGCTTCAGTGGTCATGTGATATGATCAGGTGATATGATCCCCATCAGCACAGAGATTTTTAAACAAAATGTACTTTAGCTCTCAGGTCAATGTGGGATAAAATGGGCACCAGGACCTTTCTACTTCAAATGGAGAACAGAAAACCAACAAATTTCACCTACAAGCAACAAGAAAAAAATCCCATCGAACACTCTAATTTTAACCTTGTCATTTTTAGGTAGTAGCAATGTTGGCGCCAGGGACCCTCTGGGGGGTGGGGTGGGGGGGGGGGGGGGGTGGGGGGGATAGACCAACTGCCCCCTAAAAAGCATTTTATAAAAGTCGAATAATTAAGGGTGTCTTCTTCAAAGTTGGAGTGCATCATGAGAAGGCAGGAACCAACAATCTGCATACAAGTAAGGCAATCTGTCAAATGGATGTGCTTACAAAAATCAAGTTCTGAAACAAGATCAAAGTCCAAAAGTTAAATTTTCCTCGAGAGTTAACAGCCAATGAATGCTAAGAAAGAAGAAGAAGAAGAAGAAGAAGAAGAAGAAGAAGAAGAAGAAGAAGAAGAAGAAGAAGAAGAAGAAGAAGAAGCAGAAGAAGAAGAAGAAAAAGCAAAAAAAAAAAAAAAAAAAAAAAAAAAAAAAAAAAAAAAAAAAAAAAAAAAAGAAGAAGAAGAAGAAGCACTTTGTCAACACTCACTTGGTGAAATTGGTGAGAACTTGCAGATCTGCTGTCACTAGATGTATGACAGATTCTTTGTCATCAACAATGGTAGAACTCACAGGAGGGACAGCACTCTGAATATTCTGGATGGCAGGCGGACTTTTGGGTGTTTCAAACCGTCTCAGACGTCGGATTATTCGCTCGGTAGCTGACAAGGAAAAAAAAAAGGATCAGGTTGTAAATCACAAAACAATATGCTAACCACCCTTTCTAAGGTCCAACACACACAAAAGACGAACAGTTGAAATGTTTGTTAAGTTAACCGAGCATAGTAACATTGGTCTGGATTATAAGGTATCTGAGAAAGGTTGTTCAAGTGACAAGATGGGACAAAGTTTACAACCAGACTATATATCATGATCTGGAAATCCAGGCCTTACAAACCCAAGTTGATCAGTCTCTGTTTTTGATGGTTTGTATGGGAAAGAATCGACCACCATGGTAGGCATGCGAGGCCAAGAACTAGACTTCCAGGATGACATAGGGTCCAATGGGAAGACAACATCTGACAGTCCCTCATTGACAGGGGATGGAATGGAACAAAGAAAAAAAGAAAACTGATGATGAAGAAGTTAGGCATTCTGCTGTCAAATCTCTACACCCCAGGGTAGAAGAGGGCTAACTAAGTAAGCATTCTGACTCTGGTGTTGGATGGCAACATCTGATAGAGAGGATATTTGAGGTTTAAGGTTTGAACAAGGGATCAACATCATGGCACACAGGTAGTAACCCATAAGTGCTCCATTCTTCTTCTAACTCAAGTCTGAATCTAAAGAAGTCCAGCACAGTGCACAGGCTCTGTATCACCAGCAAGGATCCTGAAATACTTTGGGAAGATTTTTAACAAAATTTTGCCTGTGCAGCACTGTTAGGCTATTCTTTTCGATTACTAACTGCCAAGGGATTTTTTTACGTGCACAACAATGCACACGGGCGTCCGATCTCACTACCTAGAGACCAGGAGAAATTACTAAAAGTCCAAGTTCACGTGAAAAAATCTCAGCCCTTACCGGGCATTGAACCCAAAACCTCTAGCACTCAAAGCAGACACCAAGCCTCGAGACCACAAAGCCCCTATCTGCACAATAAAGATGGCTACTACTTCTTCTTGTTCTTTGTGTTTATCAACGGTACACTCCAGTAAAAAGTTATGATTGTTCTCCCACTTCTGGACTTTAGTCTTGTTCCGGGACATGAGTTTTGCGTGCACATCAATTTTACAGATCTGGCTTATTTGTAGTCCATTGTTTCCTCGCCTCCCAGGCAGAGGCACTCCAACTTTAAAGGAAACAACCCCGATTAGTCGACTTTTATTATATGTTTATGTTTGTTGGGGTTATGTAATGTTAGTTTCAGCTTCATAGCAAACGGGTCACCCCATCTTTGCTCTGCTCCTGTGCCAACGAAAAACACACAGAATGTTTATCACAGTCCCTTGTGGAAAGATTAACAGACTGCGGTCTCAGCATATGCACTAGCACAAACACACACATTAAAAGCATATGGTAGACATCAGAAGTGCTAACACAAACAGTCCGACATTGGAAATGCAGTTCATCATCGACTGTAGCAGAGGTAACCAACAAATCAGCAGTTGTACACACGATCAACTTTAATCACATAAGGGCACCACCAATATTGTGACGACAGGCTACGCGTCATTTTCTGAATTTACAATTCGCAACACCACGTTGGTCACGGTCGAAAAAAATTCCAAATGAAATTCGCAGCTCATAGGGTCGCACCATGCGCTCAACTCAGTAGCTGGGCAGTGAAACTATATCCTTTCAGTCTACAAATGGAGCAAAAATGCAACGGCCACCCTGGCAGAGGCAAAACTTTGCCACGACTCGAAACAGTGGCTGTGCCTAGCGTCCATTTTGACCGGAAGTCGTTTGTTGGGGTGGTGGTGGTGAGAAGGCACTGAGTCAGTTCACCCCCCCCCCCCCCCCCCAATAGTGCCCCAGAACCAACATTGGGAGGATGTCTACTGAAATTCAGACCAAACCAAATAATAAATAACAGTACTATCCATGCAAGCACAAACTAACCATTTTCTGGCTCCAACTGGGTGTTTCTCCTGGCAACTTGCTGAGATGATGTTTTTGAACAAGTGAGACGTTTTCTCCAGTCAGCAGCCAGACAACTCAGAGTATACTGAACACCTTCTAGGTCTACAAACTCCAACCAGGGACCCTAGAACACAATCCATTCATAATAACATTGAGCCGCACACAACATCAGATAATTATTTTATTCTAGTAAAGTGAAGGGCATGCATCTTTCTCATTGCAACACACGCCGGTGAGACCTGGACACTTATTAAACAAGCTGAACAGCTCATAAAAGCCTTTGAATACAAATGTTATAGACAGGTTTTAAGAATATCATGAGTATAGAAAAGAACAAATGCATCCATACTTCAAGAACTGAATACTGAAGAAGGTTGGCTATAAAAGACATTAAACACAGAAAACTGAAATGTTCTGGTTGCTTGAAATGTCACACAAATTTAGAGAGAACAATAATAGAGGGGTACAAGCCTGGGAAGAGAGGAAGAGGAAAGCCAAAAAGAAGATGGTTGCAGGATGTGGCAGATGATCTCCAGATGGGTGAAACGGACGTGGGATATCTTGCTTGTGATCGAAAAGTTTTCCGGAAGGTTGTTATGGGGGCAAGGTTCTGCAAAGGTCATGCTACTGATTGACTGACTGACTGAAAATGAAGTGAAAAGATACAGGGTTGCCATGTTTTGTGACTTTTTTATCTGCAGGTTTTTGTTGTAATTTATTTCTAAACTTAACCATCCTAGACAAAGTTAGAAATGATACTAGAGAGACTGCTGGAACAACACCATGCTGTAAATTTAATGAGAAACAGAAGATCAAATGGTTTGGCCATTTAGTAAGATTGCAGTCAGAACAACTACCAATGCAGGCGTTACAAATGAAAAGATCTGAAGTGAAAGCAAGAGGCGGCCCGAGGAGAAGGCAAACTGACGACATTAAAGAGCTTCTACATCAACACAGAATGACAGTAGCCATTGCTGCCCGTCAAGCAATGGATCGCAAACTGTCCCTGCCCGTGGCGCTTGATGGCAGAACTAGAAATTGATAATGATGATCATGTTTCTTTTTTAAATTTGTCACAATGCATTCCATGTCTTTAATAACTGCAGTGGATGGTTTAGAAAAAGACCACTCTCATGGCTTTCAGCCAGTAGTATGAGAGGTGCACCGTGGAAGAGATTGAGGCCTTACTCTCTAATAGCATCATAGCTAGCAGCTGAAACACTGTAGCTAACCTCCACTCTAGAGCCAGGACCATTTTTTGTTCAAGTCAGGTACATCAGATAATTGTTTTGGGATTACAAGGTAATGTGTGGATTAACCGTATCATTCCGCTACTGCTTAGTTAGTAAGTTAGTTAGTCTTTCCTCTTGTGTCGAGTGCGGCACATAGGGCAGAGGTCGCGACTCTCCATGCACGGCGGTCCGTTGCAATCCGTTGTAGGTCTTGGAAGTTTGAGTGGCCCATGAGCGAGCCTTCCCTGATGATAGTTCTACGTAGGGTTTCCCTTGGTCTTCCACGAGATCTTTTCCCCTGTGGTGTCCAAATGAGGGCTTGGTAAGGAAGTCTTGATTTATCCATTCTAAGGGCGTGGCCGACATAGTTCCAGCGGCATTTTCGTATAAAATTAGACACATACTCTTGCCTGGATTCTTGCCTTATTTGTGAAAGAAAATTAATCACAAACCTGTTTAAAGATTTATTTATCTATCTTTGTTTTTTTAATTGCTGTTTTCCTTCTTCTTCTTTTGTTTGCTTGAAATAGAATATTTATATCTGCAATGTTGTTTCTAGTATGAACTTCACTGTCTGGTGTGTAATTCACTCAGTGACCCGTAAAGTTTGACTTGCACCGATGTTTCTCTTGGCCAAAAGTTTTGCTTTCATATGTTGTATTTGGGACAGTCTTGGAGGACGTGATCTGTTGTCTCAGGTGCCTGTCCACATGTGCACATGGCTGATTTGCTGATTTCAAATTTTGTGTACATGTGGCTGCGAAGTCGACTGTGTCCTGTTCTAAGGCGTAGAATAATAACTTGCTATGGTCTGTCCATAAAATGGTAATCCTACCAAAATTAACATCTGCGAATTGAGACGCCCAAGGAAAGCCGCCAATTTAACCATCCAAGACAAAGTTGGAAATTCTACTATAAGAAGGAGTGTGGGAGCAACACCATGCAATAAATTCATGGAAAAACAGAAGATCAAATGGTTTGGTAGTTAGAATGCAGCAGCAACTACTACCAAAATAGGCGGCACACATAAAATGATCTCATGGAAAAGGTCACTCAAGGAGAATAAATTTCAACAACCATTGCTACCCATCAAGCAATGAACTGCATAATGTTTCTACCTATGATGCATAATGGAAAAAGTGGAAATATTTCTTTGTGTGCAAAAAAAGAATTTAATGAGTTCCGCTTTGAATGAGTTTACTTTCAATTGAATGTTTATTTTCATGAAATTACATTCTAAAATGTTTAAATCATCGACCAAAGTTTGCCAGATATACATACTTACCATAAAGCCCTGGAAAACCTGGTTAAGCCTGGCTGCCTCGTACTGGGGTGGAAGAGCTGGAAGGTAGAGGTTGCCATCATGCAGACGGGGCTCCTCCAGCCACAGGCTGTACATCTGATACAATCTACCAGAATAATAAACAGACAAACGTTTTATCTAATACATTTGCACAGGCAAACCTTTAATCAAATACATTTACACAGGCAAATCTGAACCTGATGTGGTCTTTAAGATCAATACACAGGCAAATTTTGAACCTGATATGGTCTAAACAATCAATACACAGGCAAATCTTTAACCTGATATGGTCTATAAGATCAATACAGAGGCAAATCTTTAACCTGATATGGTCTATAAGATCAATATACAGGCACATTTTTAACCTGATATGGTCTAAATAATCAATACACAGGCAAATCTTTGAGCGGATGAGGTCTATAAGATCAATACACAGGAAAATCTTTAACCTTATATGGTCTACAAGATCAATACACAGGCAAATCTGTTATCTAATACATAAACACAGGCAAACCTTTTGTCTAATACATTTATGCAGGCAAACCTTTTATCTAATGTATTTACACAGGCAAACCTTTTATCTAATACATTTACACAGGCAAATCTGAACCTAATGTGGTCTATAAGATCAATGCACAGGCAGATCTTTAACCTGATCAATACACAGGCAGATCTTTAATCTGATATGGTCTATAAGATCAACACAAGGAAAATCTTTAATCTGATGTGGTCTATAAGATCAATACACAGGCAGATCTTTAATCTGATATGGTCTATAAGATCAACACAAGGAAAATCTTTAATCTGATGTGGTCTACAAGATCAATACACAGGCAGATCTTTAACCTGATCAATACACACGCAGATCTTTAACCTGATATGGTCTATAAGATCAACACAAGGAAAATCTTTAATCTGATGTGGTCTATAAGATCAACACAAGAAAAATCTTTAATCTGATGTGGTCTATAGGATCAACACAAGGAAAATCTTTAACCTGATATGGTCTATTAAGATCAACATATGGAAAATTTTAAATCTGATATGGTCTATAAGATCAACACAAGGAAAATCTTTAACCTGATTTGGTCTATAAGATCAACATATGGAAAATTTTTAATCTGATATGGTCTATAAGATCACAAAAGGAAAATCTTTAATCTGATATGGTCTACAAAGGTGTTCCTCGCAGCCCACCAAAACAGGAGACATTTTTGGCGGCCCACCTGACAACTACCTTAACTCTTTGAGTCCCAGGGGGTTTAGCATCACAGGCCCAAGGGGTAGTCAAGAAAGACTTGAAATCGGCGCATCTTGCGTTCATTGGGCTTCTAGGTAGGAATCTATGAACGTATGACGCGTTCCTTGGGACTCAAAGAGTTAATACAGAAACAAAAATAAATATAGATAGCAGTTAATAAGTTAAATCCAAGGTCACAAATTTGCTATGTTCAGCTAATGCGACATCTGCTGCTGCTTAGAAGTTAGAAAACCTGAAGAAGATACCAAGGTGTCTCTGCTGATATGCTGCTTCAACTTCCCATCGATGGACATGTTGCTAAGTAGATAAATCTTTAACCTGACACAATCTACAAGATCAGTAAACAGGCAAATCTTTAATCTGATACATGACTACCAATGTCCGATACATGACTACCAATGTCTGATACATGACTAGCAACGTCTGATACATGACTACCAATGTCTGATACATGACTACCAACATCCGATACATGACTACCAATATCTGATACATGACTACCAATGTCTGATACATGACTACCAACGTTTGATACATGACTACCGATGTCTGATACATAACTACCAATGTCTGATACATGACTACCAACGTTCGATACATGACTACCAATGTCTGATACATGACTACCAATGTCTGATACATGACTACCAATGTCTGATACATGACTACCAATGTCTGATACATGACTACCAACATCTGATACATGACCACCAATGTATGATACATGACTACCAACGTCTGATACACGACTACCAACGTCTGATACATGACTACCAACGTTTGATACATGACTACCAATGTCTGATACATGACTACCAACGTTTGATACATGACTACCAATGTCTGATACATGACTACCAATGTCTGATACATGACTACCAATATCTGATACATGACTACCAATGTCTGATACATGACTACCAATGTCTGATACATGACTACCAATATCTGATACATGACTACCAATGTCTGATACATGACTACCAATGTCTGATACATGGCTATCAACATCTGATACATGACTACCAACATTTGATACATGGCTACCAACGTCTGATACATGGCTACCAATGTCACAAAGTATGGACGATCATCTGTGTCAGAACTGATTGAAAGTATACAAGACAGGAGATTGTGGATATGACTACCAGCATCACAAGGGATGGAGGATAAGAAGAAGAAGTGGATACACTGCATTCAACCTCCCTTGTGGAGAAACTCATGTCAGCAGCATATCCTGGATCAGGGTGTTTAAGTGTTTGGGGTAACGAGCAAGCTGACAGACTGGCTGCTGCTGTGTCTCTTGGTAGTAATCTACTTTACGATAAAGCAGACATGGTGAAAGCTCTCTGGGATCAAATGGAAAGGGCAATAGAATACATAATCCACACAATAAAAGACTGGTTCAATGGGAGTGAGTAGAGGTTCTGGAAAATATTCTCCTTCTTCTTTTTCTTGTTCACTGGCTGTAAACTCCGCTGGAAAGTTCTGGTTGTTTGTCCACTTCTGGACTACTGTCCTGTTCCAGAATCTGAGTGTTGCGTGTGTATCCGTTTGACAGATCTGAAAAATGTTTATGCAGACTTTGGTTCCTTGCTTCGCAGACAGATGTACACCGACTTTGAAGGAAGCTCCCAATAAGTCAACTCTTAAAACATGCTTTTGGACAGGCAGTTGGTCTATTCTTGTTTCCTTATAATAGGGCCTCGGAACCCACGCGGGGAGGAAAATATTCAATACTGAGGGAGATACATAGGTAGCCTTTTAATCAAGTTCCAAACAGATACTATTAGCCCGTCAACTCCTTGTCAGCCACTGAGGAAAGAGAAGACGAATGCTTGGGAATGTCCCGAGTGCAGTGATGTCAATTCTTGATTCATTCATTCAAATTTATAGAACTAAAGACTGGGTGGTGTACTGCAACTGCACAAGGCACAGGTGATTTCTAACATGTGAGACAAGGTAACTGGTGAAATGGAAGATACTGAAAACCAGTACCTGGTGAAAAAGATGCAGCAAGGAGTGGCTGCTGGCTCTGGGCACCACTCGAGACTGGAGTTGAGCTGAGTCAAGAAATGACATCACAGCACTCAGGACATTCCCATGTGTGCTCCATCCTCATCTTCAGCAGCCAGCGCAGAATTTCAATACTGATGGTACTGGTCACAATATGGTTAATTGTCCGTCTTGCCTTTCCTCTGAGTGAAGTAAGCCAGCCAGACCCTCTGGTTATACCCAGGTGCCTTATTCTCTCCAGGCCATAATAATCTTCTTTCTACTGATTCCATTGCTTGTTCCCAAAGGGCCTTGACCACATCTGCTTTGTCATGAGACTCAGAGGGAAGGAAAGACGAGCAGTTAACCAGATGACAAAGAGTAGTATCAGTTGGAAACTCTTTGCTGTCTGTTGAGGAGGGAGACAGAGCTATTATGGGCTTGTCCTGAATCTTCTTTTTCTTCTTCAGCATTCCGAGCCCTTGAGAAACAATGATGCAGATATCACACGCCTCCATTCATCTCTCTGGCTGGCCTGCTCTTTCCAGTTGGTGACAGTGTCTGCAGGTCTGTCTGGACGTTATCTCTCCATCCTCTTCTTGGTCTGTCTCGTGGTCTTTGCCTATTCATCTCCCTTGTGTATACAATTTTTACTTCTCTTGTCCTGAATGCTGGGTCAAATCTTTACCCAGATGAACTAAAGATCATGAAGATTTTATAAGACTAAAAAAAACATGTATCTTACTTAGCTAACATCTGATGAAACTCCTTAGAGCTGATGTACTCCAGGTTCTCCTCCTCAAAAGCAGACTCTGCAGCTGCTGCTTCAAAGCCTAAACTAAGTTCTCCCCCAGGAGGTGTACCCGGGCTGTGGGAACTCTTCCGCCGCCTCGTGATTTCCTTCTTCTGAGGGTCAAAGTTCATGTGGAACGTAGCGGTTTCCAACAAGCGCTTCCTCATCTTCTTCAGCATTCCAGAGTAGTAGACAGATTCAAAGAATTTCTCGCCCACACTGGCACGGCGAGCATTGCTGCAGACAACAAATGATCAAGTTAAAACAGAAAAATTCTAAAAAAAGATTTTAAAATCACACACAGTAACAATTTTTGTAGTATTTTTTAAATAATTGCCTTAGTTATTCTCCATGTTTCTGCTCCATTTGAATTAGACATTTGACATTAGAATTAATCATTTTGAGTTTAGTATATTTAAACTTCTTTTGACCTCCACAAAACTCGCTATGATATGCCCCTACTGACTTTTGTATTCATTTTTTAATATCTCTATCAGTTCCCCCATCTTTACCTACAATTCTGCTAAATTGGTGTACGACTCCATGTCATGGGATACCATTAAAAAACCACATTACTATTTGCTTGATTTATTCTTATTACCTTTGTCTTTCTTGTGTGGATTTTCAGAGTGATCACACACTAAGTATACTTAATTTATCTGGCATTTGATTCCATGAGTTGAACAGAAGAGAAGTCCAGATCATCAAGCTGTTTTGTAAGGGTCCACTGAATTCCATTCTTGGTGTTAGCAATTACTGTCTTCATAATCCAGTCTATAGCCACTAAAAATAGGAGAGGCGACAAAAAGACATCTCTGTGGCACACCTGTTTTTATTTCAAATGTATCTGTTAGCTTTCCATCATGAAGAAATCGACATTTCATTTATATATTGCCTTTACTAAGTAAAAACATGTGTGTGGAATTCTATAGTGCCCCATTATTTCCAGAGAGATTATCTATTAAAGCTTATTCATAGACTATAAATTCAATGTGAAGTGGTCAATTCAATTCAATGCTTTGCTCATTATCATATGTAATGTGGCTATCTGGTCAGTACAGGATCTGTTTGGCCAAAAAACCTGCCTGTTTATCTCTTAGCTTTTTATCAATAGCATCTTTTAATCTTTTCAAAATAATTCTACTTAATATTTTTACAGGAACTGACAGCAACATAATTCCTCTATAGTTGTCATACTCCTGCAGATCCCCTCTTTTGGGCAGTTTCACAAGATATCCTTCTCCAGTCTGCTGGCATTTCTTCAGTCTCCCAGACTTTACTAAAGAATCTATGTAGTGGAAAGATAGTGGGGTGAAAAAAAAGAAAAAGAAGGAGGAGGAGAAGAAGGAGGAGGAGAAGAAAAAAGAGAAGGAGAAGAAGAAAGAGAAGGAGAAGAAGGAGGAGCTGGAAAAGTTGGAGGAGGAGGAGAAGAAGAGAAAAGGGGAGGAGGAGGATGAAATTCAGGAGGAAGAGGGGAAGGAGGAGGAAGAGGAGAAGAAGGGGGAGAAGAGGCAGAAGAAGAAGAAGAAGCAGGGATTCGAGAAGGAGGAGAAGAAGAAGAAAAAGAAAAGACAGGTGTGCATAAACCACAGTGGATACATATGCCTTATCTAATAAGACTTACCTAGATTCAAACACCTGCCTTCCAAGATACAAGGCAAAGAATCTCTGCCACAGAATGGGCAGTAAGGGATGGTCATAGGGTGTATCTAAGGCTTGCTGAGCCCACCTGTAGATTGTCAGCCTACCAACTGTTGGTGCCTGTTCAAGTTGCAACTTGGCCACAGCAGTCTGTTAAGGAAATATACAAAAGAACTTTATGCCTATTTCAAAAGCAACCCTGCATTGTGTAAAGAAAAGGATGATGTGGTTAATCTTAAACTTTCATGGTGATCACATGGTTAATCTTAAAGACTCTCATTAGTGAAATGTACAGAAATGTACTAGACACAATGCAGTCTAGGTATTTCACTTGACAGGTTTCCTGTTCTTCTGTGCTTCACTGCAGGTTAATATCTCAGTTTCTTGTCAGTGTTCACAGGCTGCAAACTCTGTCAGGGCTGTAAACTCTGGCAGGTAGGTAGGTAGTTGCACCCCACCAGGTCATCACACAAGCAATAAACACCCGGGGACACAAAGTGCCACCATGCGGATGAGGATTATCTGTGGAGAGGTCCCAGAAACCCCTTTCAGCTGTTATGGCCATATCTATGGCCTAGGCCATATCTATGCCCCGGCTATATTCATGGCCCCCTGCAGAAGCCAGGGTGTGGCTTCAAATAACACAAAAATATGCATCCCACATGGGGACGACTTATTATAATATTATACCAGGTAAGTATAAAACTCTGGGGGAAAGTTCTGGTTTTTAGTCAACTTCTGGACTTTAATCTTGTCCCAGAACTTGAGTTCTGCATACACATCTGTTTCCCAGATCTGGCTTATTTTTAAGCTTATCACGAACTCTTACTTTGAATGAAAAACCCAATTAGTCAACTTTAACGTTACACATTTTAGGGAGGTGGTGGTTCTATTCCTTTTCTTTTCCTCACAACGGGGTCCTGGGACCCACACAGGGAGCTGTTCAAAAAAAAAAGAACTTGTCCATTATTTCTTGTAGTTATGTTTCATCTTCAGCGAGCTAAGCTATCATCATCATCATGCCACAGGTTGTTTATGCCACAAAATATCATGCCCCGAGAAAAGAAAAAAAAAGGATACAACAAATGTGGAAGTTCTCCTCCTCTGGTCCTATTCTGCCTTTCAGCGTCACGTTTTGAAGAGGCATCAAGTGTTGGTATGTGTATATCTGACCGAAGTCATGACACATGTTCAAACCACTTATTGATGTAGTTAATTCTGGCTTTGAATTCACTTCTTTCCTGATATTTTCATTTCTGATCCTGTCTTTTCTAGTTATATATAGAATTCATCTAAGACATTTCATGTTTTTTTAAATAATTTTTTTAATGCTGCAGAAACAACCCAAGAAATGTTTTCTTTTTGGCTGTTGTGGCTTTTCTACGCAAAGTTGTGTTTAGTAGTTTGCCACTGTCTTCTTAATGTCAGCTGTCAATACCACTGTCAAAACCACTGCAAAGCATTCCGCTGCCAAATCGTCTGCACCTGGGATCGAAGCCAGTACTCTGGCATTATGAAGTACACTCTCAACGCCTAAGATACAGACACCGACTTACTTCATTAAAAAGAACCACACAAACAAAGTAAAATAATTGCCTTTTTTCACAAAACCGGTTCATGGGACATATAATGCTAGTGTTTTTTACAGACCAGTTAGCATTCAATGGATTACCTGCTACCTACTTGTTGTCGTATCAACATCCTTGCACATGGGTCCAACCAATTTGTGCTCCGTCCTCCGATGCAGCAGCCATCTCACTGCTTCCATGCTCACCAAACCCAGTGTTTTTCTTTGCACCGCATCTGGTTTCTGCATGCTTGTGCTAATTCCCTACCCATTTCCAACAGGCAGTTGATTGACTCTGACTCTTTAGTCTCAAAGTCTCTAGGACTCAGTGGATTCAGTGTATCTGCCCTGTCCATACTTCTTCCTTCATCAACCCCCTGCCAACATGCAGGAATACATGGGTTGTATGGTCAACATCACACGGCTACCTCTATTTCCCAGGACTTTAGCTAGTACCGATTTTAGGCTGCGTTTGATCTGGGAGCCCAAACCTGTTTTTTTTTTTTTTAAATCTTACTTGAGGAGAGGGACAAAGAGCAAGAGGTAGACCAAGAACAAGATGGGAAGACAACATCAGAGAAACTCTACAGCACCACGATGTGTCTGTGTTCGAAGCAGCCAGAAGGGCATGAAGCAGGACCTTATTTCTCCCTCGACACCCGAAGTGGTAAAAGAGGATGTTAAGAAGAAGACTTGATGCAGACTCAAATCGCTAGACCTTCAAGCATCTAGAACTCTCAGAATGGTATTTTTTTTAAAAACCAAACCCAGTATAGTACACACTTCATCTTCTTAGAGTTCACTGGCTTTAAAATTGGGGGTTGGGGGGGGGGGGGACACCGTAAGTAACTCATTTTTGTCTACCAGAAATCTATAAGCAATCCACAGGTCTTGCCGAGGGGGAAGGAAGGCACTGGGTCTAATCTTTTTTTTTCACAAAAATGGAGCTCTGTAACCCACAAAGGAAACAGTACATACAAAGGTATTTTGGTGTAATGTAAAGGGCAATAAACGGGCTGACAGACTTGCAAGTGATGCTCTTAGTTGGAAACAGATGAGCAATGGACAGGGCTGATATACTGATTGCCCTCAGAGAGGCAGCTCGATTCAGCGAATCAGGTAATGACTGTGAATCTGTAACACTGACGAGACTACACGAACATAACATCAAAAGGGGTGAAGCCAGAAAAGAGCGCTACCCAGGGGCCAAAAGTAAGAATAGTAAACCAACACAGAACTGGTGTCATTAGCCACTACACGCACAGGGATATATTTAAAAGGGGATATGAGTACTTATTGACTTATTGATGTGCAATGATGATAATGTTAACTAACATACAAAAGTATGGGGGGAAGGGGGGGAACACAAGCACAAATATACAAAAGAAGTAAGTATGGCATTACTTTGAGAGCATTTTCCACGTTTGGCTTGCCAGGCGTGTGGAGTTCATTGATGAGGGTCTGCCAAAGCTGTGTGTTTACTTCCATCTCCCCCTCTACAATCAGAATCATGTAGGCCAGCCAAGGGAACTCCGGCAAGGAAGCGCTGTCCATGTAGGAGGGGAGTGTGTTGGAAGAAGAGATCCACTGGAACATCGAGGTGACAAGTCCATGGCGATTCTTTGCAGCAGCACAGAATTTCTGAGAGAATACATTTTCAAAATCATTCATATGATTACCGTGGTAACTTCAAACTGATCAGATGATCCTTCTGTTTACATAACATAGGAGAGTACAGTTTTAGTGATACAGCCTTGATTACTTTTAGCAAACTTCTGTTCAGTGTGTGGTAAATAATCCTGAAAGCAGTCTTTATCAACTACTTGTCCATAGAATACATTCTGTTTTTTTTTTAAGGTTAACAAACACAATTTAAAAATAAAATTTACTCCTGTTCTATTATCACTATTTTTATTACTACTAGTTACGTTCCTTCATTTATTTTATTTGCTCCACATAATCTTTTCCTCTTCCTTTATTTTATAGTTCTTCATGTGCCCCCCCCCCCTCCCCCCTCCACCCCCTTTCAGTGTGGGGGACTTGTGGCCAGGATACTCTACCCCTTGTTACAGACTTTGTAGTTTGTGTCAAGAAAGGTTCCTGATGAAATATCCCATTTTTCCTGTGTGTGTACATTGCTCACCCTTTGCCTTTTCATTAACCTTCTTAGAAATAAAATGCCTCATGTGCCGCATTAGTAGACTCAGCAATAAAGATTTGCCTGGCTGGCAGCCACCGTTTTCTATTACATTCTTTCTTTGTTTACCGGATGTTAACTCCTGTGGAAAGTTCTGAATGTTTGTCCACTTCTAGATTGTTGGTCTAGACCTTGAGTTTTGTGTATACACTGGTATTACAGATCTGACTTTACTGTATGCAGACTGTTAGTCTCTCGCCTATGAGGCAGATGTTTTCCAACTTTGAAGGAAACACTCTGAATAAGTCACTTTTTTATAATGTTTTTGAGAGTGGGTCTAGCCTTTACCCCCCCACCAAAATGAGTCCCGGAACTCACAATGTGATTAAGGTTAACAAATATAGTAATTAAAGCACCCTTTTTATACCAGTAGTGCAACAAGGCATATGATTTCTTCTTCCTAAAGTCCATGCAGTGTGGCATTGGTAGGCATGTCTATGCACAACCTTCTATCTCGTGTACTTTCAATTGACTCTAACACAGATGATCTTACATGCCATGATGTCGAACTATCAAACTGGTTCTGAGTTCATGCCCCAGTGAAGGCTGGGATTTTTTCAAGTGGACTTCTAGTCATTTTCTCTGGTCTCTGGGTAGTAAGATCGGACACCTGTGTGTATTGCTGCGCAGGTGTTAAAAAAAAAAAATCCCTTGGCAACTGGAAATCAAAAAGAGTAGCCTAACGGCGCTGCCCGGGCAAAATTTGGAGTTTAAAAATCTACCCAAGTATTTCAGGATCCTCGCCGGTGCTTTAGATTTCGTGCATGCGCTAAGATTCTTCTTACTCAGGCTTGAGTTAAAAGTAGAACGGAGCACTTATGGGTTACTACTCTTGTTAAATGATGCTGATCCGTTGTATAATCCATAAACCAAAATCATTTTTAAAAAACTGAAATAATTAAGTATACTATAAAAACAGGCAGTAGCAAGCAGACACTGACCACATAGATTCTCCTTGAAGATGTCTGAGATGATCACCAGCACTCCCTTCTTGACAAAACTCCACCTGATCAAAACATCAGCCACGTAGCAACTGTTCCTATAGAAGCACAAAGAATGCAGTTACAATCAATCAACTGATTTGTCCCCTCTCTACTACCTGAAAGTTTACCACCCTGAGATTTTAAGAAAATCTAAATCTAGATGGTAGACCAACAAGGCAGACCACAGACACCCCATTCAACCTCCAAAAAAGTTATAATTAGGGCATCCGTAAAGACTACACAAGTCTGGGGTAACCTTCAGTCCTGTACAGATGGCGACTGCGTGGTCACAAGACATGGCGTCCGTATTGAGTGCTGGAGTCCTGGGTTCAGGCTGGGATTTTTTATCACGTGGACTTCTAGCAATTTTTTTGGTCTCTGGGTAGTGAGATCAGATGCCCGTGTGTATTGTTTTGCACATAAAAAAAAATCCCTTGGCAGTTGAAAATCTAAAAGAGTAGCCTTATGGCACTGCCTGTTGCAAAATTTTGAGTTTTAAAAAAATATCTATCCAAGGTATTTCAGGATCCTCGCCGATGCTACAGAGCTCGTGCACTGCGCTGATATTCTTCAGACTCAGACTTAAGTTAGAAGTAGAACGGAGGAGCACTTGTGGGTTACTACCATGTGCCATGATGGTCAAACCTCAAATCTGTGCAGACAAAGACAGCAGCTACAGTCTTTCCCGTAAGATTACACAGAGGCGACACAAACACTAGTATGCATATGGAGGTGACCAGGGCTTTCTTCTAGAGGAAAAGAAAAAAAGGTGCTGGTACTCACCACAAAGTGCCTGTTACAGCAACACTGCAAACAGAAAGTATACCTCTAAAAAGCTAGACCCCCTCCTGCAGATCGAAAGGTCGTGGGTTCATGTCCTGACTAGGCTGAACCTTTTTTTTTCTTAAAAAATGACCCTGACTCCCAGGTCAACCCAGCCTTGAGTGGGTACCAGGTACAGTCCTGGGATGTAAAGGCGGCCGGCGTGATGTTGACCACATCAGCCAAGTGCTAAAAAAACATAGATCTAGCCCTCTATGCCCAATTCGCCTGAAGGCATGAAAAAGGGAGCTTTACTTTTACTTTTTATTTCCTGTGAGGGTGCTGGGGCCCTAATTCTGAGCGCAAAAAAAGGAAACAACGTATTGCTCCTTAATTAGAATGTCGTAAAAGGCCACTAATTTAGGATTTGCTGAACTCGGATGGACTGAGTGAAAGTTGCTTATATCACAGCCTAGCTGTAAACAACAAAACACCATGCCTACTGCCCTTAGGTTAAGGTTTAGTTGACAGTTCAACATCATGGCACAAGGGTAGTAACCAATAAGTGCTCTGTTCTATTTCTGACTCAAGCCCGAGTCCGAGGAATGTCAGTGCAGTGCCTGAACTCTGTAGCACCAATGTGCCAACTGCTTTTCTAAGGGCAAATGCATGAGAAAAAGAAGAAGCTTATAAGGTCAGTATGGTCGAGAGGTTTTGGTGCCCACTTCAGGCTCGGAAGTTGCCAAGTTTACTCTTACCATAGAGCAAGGGATGTCTTTTTGACACTGATCTCTTTTGATAACCACACTATCTTGTTATGTTTTATATTTTTTTTTGTTGACAGATTAACATCATGGCATATGGGTGGTAACTGATAAGTGCTCCGTTCTACTTCTAACTCAAGCCTGAGTCTGAAGAATCTTAGCATAGTTCACGAACTCCATTGCACCAGAAAATGTACCGGGTCCTGAAATATCATGGGTAGACTTTTAACTCCAAATTTTGCCCATGCAGTGCTGTTAAGCTTCTCTTTTTCAATTTCCAACTGCCAAGGGATTTTTTTTTTACATGGGCAACAATACACACGGGCATCCAATCTTACTATCCAGAGACCAGGGGAAATTACTAGAAGTCCACACGAAAAAATCCCAGCCTTCACCGAGGCTTGAACCCGGGACCTCCAGCACTCTAGGTGGACCCCATGCCTCAAGAACATGCAGCCCCTTGCTGTCCTTAAAAAGGCAAATGTAGAAACAGAGGAAGAATACGTCTGGGCATCATCCTTCATCATCAATATCCTGTAGTGCCATTATATGTCACTTAGGGCTCGCATCTATTCCTCCATTCTGTTCGATCCATCTAATATTATGGATGGAATCCAGTCCAGGACCTTTGACCTCATTTGAGGGTTCTTTTGGACGTCCTCACTTCATCAATCCCTGTTATTTCCCATTTTGCTACTTGTTTGGTGATTATCTGCTAATTTCTTATCAGGATGTGTCCAATAAATCGCCATCTTCTCTGTTTTATAAACGTTGTTACCAGCAGCTGCCCAGAAATGTTTCTTATTTCTTCACTTCTCTTGAATTCATCCCATTTTATGTTCATTTTCCTCAGGTATTTGTTTTCAAATACATTTAGTGTATGCATAAGCTTTATAAGAAAGACATTAAATCACAACAAGAGTTTGCTAGCTGCATCAGCAGCAGATATTCTCAATTCTTTAGACACATCAAGAGACAGGAAAAACTGAAGTCATCATGAAGTTGGAAAAAGAGGCAGGCAGAGACCTAGAGAACAAATGAACAAACAAAATTTTATTTTCAAAGGGTCACAAACTGGGCAAGCAGGTTCTTACTGAAGATTTGAATCTGGGTCTCAATGAACAAACAAACAAAAAAATTTTTTTTCAAACCGTCACAAGAAGAAGACAACAGATAATGTCCTCCAAGACTGTCCCAAATACAACATATCAAGACAAAACTTTTGGCCAAGAGAAACATCGATGTAAGTTGAACTTTACGGGTCACTGAGTGAATATTAAAAAAAAACATACTAAAGACAACATTGCAGACAGAGATAATCTATTTCAAGCGAATGAAAGAAAAAGAACAACAAGAGGAAGAATAAAAATAGGTATATATTGCTATAATTATCACGTCATTCCTTCTTATTATTAACAGTCAAAATGACCCTTTCCCACACCTTCAGGCATATTGGGCATACAGGGTCAGAACTATATTTTATAGACCAATTTGCACTCGGTGGGTGATGTGGTCAGCATCCTGCCGGCTGCCTTTCCTTCCCAGGACTTTAGCTGGTACCCATTTAAGGCTGGGTGGACCTGGGAGCTAAGGTAATTTCCGAAAAAAAATTATGGCGCCATCACTCACAACCTTTCGATCCGCAGGCAAACGTAAGCATGTCCTGAAAGGAGATATGAGGGGGTTTGCTGAAATCAGATGTGTTGGGCCAAAAGGTGCAGATATCACAGTCTAGCTGTCAACCCCAACATAACCTGCCAAATGCCCTCTGAAAGATGAATGCAGAGGACACATGATGACTGGGTTGGCAGTCAAGTGTACAATGTATATCGGAGGCGGGGACATAAAGGAGAGGAAGGCAAAAAAGGTTGGCGTGATGGCAACGGCATGTTATAATTATGAATATTTGTATATGCTCAGAATAAGTGAGGTAAGAGCCAACTTCATACCACTTGGGACATTCCCATAAGCTCTCCATCCCTATTTTCAGCAGCCAGCACAGAATTCCTGTTCCGACAGTACCAGCAGTAGTCTGATTATATGTCAGTCTTGCCTTTCCCCTCCCTTCGTGTTGAGTGTCAGCCAGATCCATTGGTCACACCCCACTGCACCATTCTTGTTAACTTTAACTAAAGGTCAGTTATCTAACAATCTCTTAATTAAAGGTCAGTGAACCAGTAATCCTTTAACCAGAAATATAATGAATGCAAACTGCAAACCTCTCAGTGAAAAACCTGCACACTTTGAAGATAGCCTTCAACCAAAAGGTGATGATTGCGTCTGCTTTGCCCTGTGCCAAATGACTTGTGATCTGAACCTGGAGTTATAGGAGACAATTAACATACACTAAATACTAAGAACCTCCAAAAGAAAGCCTAAGATAAACATTTCTGAGAGGCAAAAGTTGTTGGACTGGAATTTATCCATTATTCTGAAGTGAGCTGAGTTTTAGTTGAGTCAAGAATTGACTCTTACAGCATAAGACAATCCCAATCAGCACAAAGAGACATCTTATTCAAAGCATATTTATTCCAACTCTGTGCTACCAGTGCCAGACATGGTCACTCACAACAAACCATAAAAGAAAATTAGTAACCACGGAAATGAGATATCTGAGAAGGGCTGTATGAGTGACCATAAGAGATAAGATCAGGAATGAGATCATAAGAGAACAAGTCAGCACAGAACCAATTTTGGATTACATACAAAGACAGCAAGTGAAATGGTTTGCACTTAGAGAGAATGCCTTGTGACACCATACCATACAAAGCATACATGGAAAGAGAAGAAGGACGTAGAGCACGGGGTAGACCAAGAACAAGATGGAAGGATAACATCAGAGAAACTCTACAACAGCACGATGTGCCTATGGTCGAGGCAGCCAGAAGAGCTAGAAACAGAACCTTATATCCCCCTCGACACCCACAGCGGTAAAAGAGGAAGTAAAGAAGAAGAAGAATTGACATTACAGCACTCGGGGCATTCCCATGTGTGCTCTGCCCTCATCTTCAGCAGTCAGCACAAAGTTCCAATACTGATGGTACCAGTCACAATCTGGTTATATGTCCATTTTGTCTTTCCTCTCGTGTAGTGAGCCTGACGGACCCTCCGGTTACACCAGGTGCCTCATTCTTTCCAGGCCATAATAATCTTGTTTCTCTACTGATTCTGTTGCTTGTTCCCAAAGGGCCTTGACCACATCTGCCTTGTCATGTATCAATTCACCACTCAGTGGTGCCGATCCAGCCAGTCTGTCTACCCTGATACCGAAGTGATGGCAACGGATAAAATGAAATGGAGGAAAAGACTGTGAGTTTGTTGTTTGTGTCCACCTGCTGTAAACACCAGTGGATAGACCTGGTTGTTCGTCCATTTCTGGACTTTGGTTTGGTTTCAGGACCTGAGTTTTACTGTGTGCATCTGTTTTACAGATCTTGCCTATCTGTATGCAGACTATTGGTTCCTTTCCTCTAAAGGCAGATGCACTCTTGACTCTGAAGGCTGACCCCAATTAGTCAACTCTTACCACATGCCTGTTGGGGAGGCAGCGGGTCTGTTCTTGTTTTCCCAACAATGGAACCCCGGAACCCATGCGGGGACTGTGAGTGATATGAGCGATGTATATTGGAAGAATAATGGTCATTAAATAGTAATTGGTGCGGTGGTCAAAGAGCTTCTGCACAGACATAGAATGACAATAGTTGTTCCTGTCCATTAACCAATGGATCGCAAACTGCTCCTCCCCATGTTGCTTAATGGCAGAAGTGGAAATTGATAACTGATGATGATAATAATATTGATGCAGTAGTGATATAGTGATTAGTACACTTGCCTACCAAGACAGTGACTCTGGTTCTTCTTCTTTTTCATGTTCACCAGCTGTAAACTCCAGTGGAAATTTCTGGTTGTTCAACCACTTCTGGACTTTGGTTTTACTCCAGAATATCAGCTCTGTGTATATCAATCAAGCCGTGTGCCTTGTACTTTGAACGTCCCGGATTCGTTTCTCGGCTGCATCATTCATTTCACTGAGGATTGTCACCGGCGCTATGGTGTCCATGCTTTGTGCAACACTCATGGTAGGCAGTCAGGCATTTAGCAGAGAGAATTTGAGCCATATGGCAGAGAAACTGGTACAATGAAGCCAATCCTCTCGACTTTAACCTTTATCCTGTTTAATAACTGCTAACCTGTATCATCTCTGTTAACTGCTGTGTTACAATGCCTGGAAACTCGACCGTCATGATGGCTGATTTTGTTGACTTCAGCAGGGATTCGTCTGCTGCCAGCAATGACTGAAGAATCTGGCAAAATCTGCAAAATATATAAATAAAGTTATTCTTTACAGGACATTGCAGAACCAACCTCAGCCTTTTTTTTGTGTGGCTGTTGTGGCTTTTACAGGCAAATTTATGTCCAATAGTTTACCATTTCCTTCTGGACAATCGGCTTTGCGATACCCCTGCAAGAACCAACGCAAGGCCCACAGCTGGGATCGAACCTGGCAACCCAGGCATTACGAAGCTCGTTCGCAACGCCTTAGCCACAGACACCAGCAAAATATATATACAATACAGCAAATAGCAGATAAATTAACTGCTATATAATGAAAAGTGTTTTTAACCTACTAAAGGAGAATGATGTCATGCCTATTCATCAATCAATCAACATGCTCTTTACAGAAGGTCGCTCTCTTCACTGCATGCCTGAAAGTCTCTCCTTCTCTAAATTCTCCAGCCCTGTGTGCTTTCAGATCCAATGCATCATCAATATCCTATGTTCACTTCCACGGAAGTCCGCTTCTGCCTCGTTTTCCGGAAAATATATATACAATACAGCAAATAGCAGATAAATTAACTGCTATATAATGAAAAGTGTTTTTAACCTACTAAAGGAGAATGATGTCATGCCTATTCATCAATCAATCAACATGCCCTTTACAGAAGGTCGCTCTCTTCACTGCATGCCTGAAAGTCTCTCCTTCTCAAAATTTTCCAGCCCTGTGTGCTATTAGATCCAATGCATCATCAATATCCTATGTTCACTTTCACGGAAGTCCGCTTCTGTCTCGTTTTCCGGAAACTGCACCCATCAATCACTGATCTATCCAAACCACCATGGCACTTGACATGCTTTATCATGGACATCATGCTTTATCAGTGACATCATGCTTTATCATGGACATCATGCTTTATCATGGACATCATGCTTTATCATGGACATCATGCTTTATCATGGACATCATGCTTCATCATGGACATCATGCTTTATCATGGACATCATGCTTTATCATGGACATCATGCTTTATTATGGACAACATGCTTTATCATGGACAACATGCTTTATCATGGACATCATGCTCGTCAGTAACATCATGCTTCATTATTAGGGGACATCATGCTTCATCAGTGACATTGTGCTTTATCAGTGACATCATGCTTCATCGGTGACATCATGCTTCATCAGTGACATCATGCTTTATCATGGACATCATGCTTTATCATGGACATCATGCTTTATCATGGACTGAATAAATTCAACTGAAATGCGAACATAATTTATTGCCAGGCATATTTCGCTGTATCTCATCAGGTGCGTTACTACAGAGTTGCATCAATATAAAATAAAGCACAAAACTGAATAAATTCAACTGAAATGCGAACAAAATTTATTGCAAAATACCTCAGCTTTCGGGAGAGGATGCTGTTTATGAGCCAGTTTTCCTTCATGTTCAGGTCATGCAGGAATTTCCACATGTTTCTCCTTCTTTATCCACAATATTATAAGAATTTGTATGTAGCACTTCAGTTCACAAACACAAATTTTCTTCTAATCAAAGGGTCTGTCACCCACCAATGGAGGATGTCAAACTTAGTCATAGACTGACTTTTAATCAGGTCGCTCTCTGTGTGGGTTCCAGAGCCCCATTGTAGGAAAAACAAGAATAGACCCACTGCCTGACCAGCTAGCATGTGGTAAGAGTCGACTGACTGGGGACTGGGCGTTTCCTTTGAAGTCGGAATGCCTCTGTCTGAGAGGCAAGCAACTAACAATCTGCATATAAATAAATTAAGATCTGAAGAATAGATGTGCACGCAAGACTCAGGTTCTGGAACAAAAGACTAAAGTCCAGAACTTTTCACTGGAGTTTACAGCTGGTGAACGCAAAGAAGAGAAAGAAGAATCAAGTTGCAACTAATACTATGGGCATGCTTACTCTTTGTCGGCTACTGAAGAAGGGGACGTAGCAGCGATTTATGTGACATTTTCCAGTAAATACTGGGGGCACCGAGTTACGTAACATTTTCCAGTAAATATCGGGGACAGTGACTTACGTAACATTTTCTAGTAAATACTGGAGACACTGACTTACATAACATTTTCCAGTAAATACTGGGGGCACCGAGTTACGTAACATTTTCCAGTAAATATCGGGGACAGTGACTTACGTAACATTTTCTAGTAAATACTGGAGACAGTGACTTACATAACTTTTTCCAGTAAATATCAGGGACAGTGACTTACGTAACATTTTTCAGTAAATACTGGAGACAGTGACTTACATTACTTTTTCCAGTAAATACTGGGGACAGTGAATTACGTAACATTTTTCAGTAAATACTGGGGACAGTGAATTACGTAACATTTTTCAGTAAATACTGGGGACAGTGACTTACGTAACATTTTCCAGTAAATACTGGGGACAGTCAACAAAAAGTGGGACTACACAGCCCAGCAGGTGGATGGCAGTGGTGTACTGGTAGTTGGAGGTCAGCACACTCAACAGGTCCAGGCCCTCACCGATGAAACTTGTGATGCTGCCACAGAAAGAATCACATCATATTTACCAGTTGTTCAAGAATTTGATATAATAACACATTTAAAAAAAGGGTAACAATTTATGTGTGGGTTCCGGTGCCTCATTGACGCACAAAGTGGGGGGGGGGGGGGGGGGGGGGGGGGGGGGGGGGAATATAGGTCCACTGCCTTTTAAACTCAGTGAGTCCCAAACAATGCATTTTGTGTGAATCACTCTTATCTACTGAAAATCCTCCCTGGCTTCATATGTATATAATTTTTTTAAATTTTAATTGTTTATTTGGTCAGAACACACTCAACAAGCCTTGCAAGTTACTTTAAAAAAAAAAAAACAGTTAGTTGTGTATCCTTTACAGGATGTAGCAGAACCAACCCCCAGACATTTTTTGCTGTTTGTGGTTTTTCTAGGCAAATTTGAATGTTCAATTGTTTGCCCCTGCTTTCTTCATGATCAGCTCTCAGCACCACTGTGGAAACCAACACAAGACAAACCTTCCACAGCTAGGATCGAACCCGGCACCCAGGCATTATGAAGCTCGTTCGCAACGCCAAAGCCACAGGCTTCAACTGGTCACTACTACTGCTACTTTACCGTTTTATAAGTAATGCACTGATGAATTTTAATTACACATTTTTCTTCACTGGCAGACAAACAGCCATAACTTTCTGCCAGATTTTACAGATGATGAAAGCTAAAAAGAAGAAATAAAGTCCTCCTGATGAAAATGAAACAGGAAACACAGCTATACAAGAAGAAGATAAACTTATCCTGCAATTAAAGTATTATTTGCAAAGATATTTCTTCTTCTTCTACTTCTGTGTTCACCGGCTGTAAACTCCAATGGAATGTTCTGGTTGTTTGTCCAATTCTTGACTTTAGTCTTTTCTAGTACTTGAGTTTTGTATGCACATCCGTTTTACAGACCTATTTTCAGACCGCTGGTTCCTTGCCTCTAAGTCAGATGCATTCTGACCCAGAAGGATACACCCCTGCCCTACTGGTAAAATCTATGACATGCTTGTATGTTTGGGGGACAGTGGGTCCATTCTTTTTTTTAATCCCAAAATGGGATCCCAGAACCCACATAGATACTGAACGATGATATCAAAATTAAAATTAAAAAAAAAAATTTAAAAAAAGGAAGAGAATGTTGAGTGTTGAGCAGGGAGACTGAGTACCTGTAAGCCATTTAGAGTGCAACAGACCACTTTATTGTAACAGTAACACTAAACAACTCACTCATGGCCAATGTTTGTCATTGCTATGGCAACAAAACAAGCAATGGGTGTTTTGTTCGAAGTTCCCTTCAGCAGCGGCAGCAGCCAGGTTTCTGCGCCAAGAGTCGGAGGTTGAAAGTTCACATCAACGACCCCAAAAGCATGCAGCAGCACACTCTGCTGGTGAAGCTTGAGATGCAGGGCGAGGTCCCAGGCCCAATTATTAAACACCTGCTCTGCACTTGGACTTGAGGTCATGTACGATGCCATCTGAAAGGTTACAAAGAGCCACATTATTTTTATACTTATATTTTAACATAATTTGTGCAGTTGTTATAAAATGTAACTAGCTTTTTCATAAGCTTTTATTTATTTAGCATTATCAAAGCAATGTTTCACAGTTGTGAATTCGAACAAAGAAAACATAAACAACAGACTGCAAAATTTACTGCCTGACATATTGTGGCTGTATCTCATCAGATGCATACTACAGCACCAACTGATTAAAATGAAGCACATAAATGAATTCTTCGAACCCAAAGTATTTCAGGATCCTCACCGGCGCTACAGAGCCTGTTCAATGTGCTGAGCTTCTTCGGACTCAGACTTGAGTTAGAAGAAGAACGGAGCATTTATGGGTTACTACCCGTGTGCTATGATGTTGAAAGGTGAAACCATGTCCTTTTGTCTGCATAATTCTGGACTAAAACTAAAGCACTGCTATAAACTTGTTTAGTCCAGAATCATTTCACTTACAGACACAGATTTGTTAAGTTCACTTGCACATACAGATCTTTACTTGTAGATACAGATCTGATTTTTCCAACAACAACAAAGAAATCACTTCCTGATGCAGAGATACAACTGCATGCTTTGTAGATTCAAACTTACTATATCTATTTTTGTCAGTATGTTTTCCAGTTTTGAACATTTCTTGTATATCATCCTATTTAGCCAGTGTTTTGTTAAACTATTTTAAATTTCCAGTTGTAAAGAGATTTTACATCAGCGTAACATGTACACTAGTACAATTACTTTGGTTTTTTATCTTCAGATTTTTTTGTTTTGTTTTGTTTAACAGACCAGGCAACCAATCAACCAATATCAGAATTAGAGCAGAAATTATTATTTTTGAGTTTGATTCTGTAAATCACTGTATAAGTTCTGTGGCCATCCTACGATAGAAACAAGTATAGACCCACTCCCCCCCCACTTCCCCCTCCCCCTCACAACAAGAATATCACAACAGACAACTAACTATTGGTATATTGATTTA